TTAACACTTGATTTCGTATTTTGTTAAAGATTATGAACTACTTTATATATCTTACCAGTTATATTATTCTTTCAAACTTTTGACCAAAGACCAGTTCTCCAAACCGAATCGAATGCCTTTTTGAAATCAAAGGCAAAGTACATTTTTTTACCAGTTGAAAGATACAGACTACTTGATACATGTAGTACAAACACATTATCCGAAGTGGAATAACCCTTCCTAAAACCTGCTTGAGCATCTGTAATGAGTTTAATTTCATCTGCCAATAGGTTCAGCCTATTATTTAATATGGATGTGAAAACCTTACCAAGGCAAGATACCAGGGTAATCGCTCGATAATTGTCCAAGTTCTTGGGATCGCCTTTATTTATATATATTGGTTTTATAATTCCTGTGATCCAAGCATCTGGTATGATACTTGTATCTAATACAATATTAAATAACTTTACATAAAATGGTATAAAGACATCTGCTGTGTTTTAATGTATTCATTCACTATTCCATCTATACCACATGCTTTATTATTGGGCAGTTTATGAATAATGTTTTCAATTTCACTGACACTTATATTACCATTAAGTATGTCGCCATAGATATCATTGTTAAACTCAGGGATAACAAAGTCTTCACCTTCTCTTGCATCATCATAATTAAGTAGTTTAAAATAGTTGTACAATTTATTAATTTCAAAATCAACATTAGAATTGCTCTTACCATCTAGACGGTTATTTATATTCCAAAATCCTTTGCTATTATATTTAGACAATCTTCTTAACTGCGATTCAGTATTCTCTTGGATAATATACTGCAATATACTGGTATACTAGTAACAACTCTGTTATATCAATTATCAATTCTAGGATAGAAAACGGAAGGACCTCGGAGTCTACAGTACATCTATCCCTTGGGTAAGTATAATAAGATAAAATATAGGATAATTACTTGTAATATCTTAACAAAATCCTATTATCAGTTTAAAAATACAAATATATTAAAATCGTACTTTATTCTGGGGTCACTCCGCGACATTCCATCAAAATGAAATAGTTGAACAAACGTTTGTGAGGTCACAATTAGAATAACTTTGTGGCATCAAAATATTCATATTAACATATGACGTCAGAAGTGAAAAGGGTCTGAAATCAAACGTCAGTTTTCAGACACTTGATGAGTATGGGAGAACACTTTAATATGCATCTGTAAAACAACTTCGATATGTGGAAAAAATAGATAAATAAAAGAAAATGAAAATGGATATGTGAAACTCGACAGTTTTATTATTTTTGCTCACTAAACTGAAAGATTTCAAGAGTGGTTTTGAACTTTACAATTTTTTTCCTATGATGGAAACACTTACAAATTCATAAATTGATTTATAAACTCATGATAAATTTCGCAATAGTCAGTTGTAAATATTTCCAACGAGAATGAAAAAACACCTGTCGTTATCACCATTTATTATAACAAGATCCACATGAATGTGGGGAACTTCATTGTTGGATGTTATATACAAACCACTTTTTCCTGAAAAAGGTATGATTTGATAAACTAATATTGAAAAAAAACCCACCAAGATCATGAAATACACTTTGTGTTGTTGGAGTAAAGAAATTACCACATTAAAAAAATATTATAGCGACAAATGATTGCTTCATTTCAGTTACATATGTTTCCCCTTTACAATACCATAGTTGAGAAATACGTTGTTTACCTATATTTTATATACATAAATATTGAGAAATGTTTCTATATTTAGGATGCGGAATGGGAAATCTACTACCCGTATACCAGTGCTTCATCCTGGGTAGGTACATGTACATTGTCTTATATCAACATTGTCATGTATGAATCAACACATTAAAATATCCCGAGGAAAAAAAAGGGGAATTCTGGTTGAATTAAAACAGATACGACACTGAAAACATCACAGCTCTACTTTTAACACAGTATCTTAAGTATTTCGACAAGACATACAAATTTCATGGGTTTTTTTTATTTTTATTTCTATAATTTTAGGATGAAGGATGGGAGACATATGAAGGTTACACCACCACACCAGCTTGGGTATGTCGAATTTATCCTTACATGATTAGAGAAAAGGTTTATAATTAATTCTCCCCACGCCGAGAAAAGTCACATCCCGACAGAATCAGGATACTCTAATTTCAGAAAGGTTGAAAGAATGACGTCATCTCATCATTAATTCATATCTATCGATGATGATGTCAACAGATAACGTGAACATCTTGTACCAGATGGTTTTACACTCCAAACAACTGCACGAATCTAACTGGATCGCAGAAAACAATACTGTAATATCTTAAATATTCGTGGGTGATAATTTTTCGTTGATTTCATGGCTGCTCTTTATCTTCGATTCCATAAGTCCACCAACTATCATAATTAGTCTTAATTTCACCCACGAAGTCAAATGTTAACTACCTATTTTTCTAAGCCACGAAAATCAAGCCCCACATAGATATATAATCATACAGTAACTTACTTACTTGATTGATCAAGATTAATAGCATCATATTTGCTATTATTTTCTTTTTCTCATGTCCACATTTTGCCACCGTTTCACCGATTTTGGGTATTAATCCCAATTTGGACAAAATCTAAACAGTAACGTTTGAGAAAACAATTGTACGTTTACATGCACGGAGCGTTAGTGGTTTTATTCACGATAAGTGAATGATGATACGTGTATTTCAGTTTCAGTTTGGAAAACGTAGTGTTCCTGACGATGTGGACAATATTCCTGAGGTAAGTAAATAAGTAGCAAATAAGATAATACTGAACTGGAAACAAACAGTTGTATGATGAAATTGAATTCCCTTCTTTGACTCTATCTATTTTTTGATTTGTATTGAAAGATGCAGTTCGCTGGTGTGTTTATCGTATAATCGCTGAAGTTAAAGAAGTGTATAAGCCACGGAAACAAAATGTCATCAGGAATGCGGTCAATGATGATGATCTTATAGGGACATGTCAGTCAAGAGACGATTTTGATAGGAAGGATTATGTGTCATTTTATTAGAAAATATTACAATATTCTAGTACCTCCTATGTATATTTATAACGTTTGAACTCACAAATTGATGGATAAACATTTGTTTCAGTCTAAAATACAACACGAAGACAGGCGTGGTGGGCGTAGGCGTGGCAACAAAAAACGAACACTTCATTTCCCAAAGGTAGACATCGCAACGTTTCCATAGATACAATTTCACATTGATACACTCAAGAATTTAGTAAAGTTTTATATTTTGTAACGTCTTGTCAACATCGCTGCCTCTCTATATATACTAGATGAGTACATGTGATGAGTGCATGTCATTGTTGGAAGCTGAAGCATCATAGAAAATGTGCAGAACTGAAAACAAATTTATAGTGCTGTCACACTGAAATATATTTTCGAAGGCCCCCCCCCACCAACAGGACACCCCGCCCGGTCACTTTACACTCAGATTTGGCGAACCAGTCATCCCCAAATGCATATTCTAAAATGTACCACTATTTAGAGGACATGCAGGTAACCACTGGCTAATAACTCTGTGTTACAATAACATTGTCAATTCATTATCTGCTTCCGCCATTACTAGCACAGGACATTTGCTCAACAAACGGTTTGAGTTCCTGTTCTGTGGTAATCAGTTCCAAGAATTTGAAGAATCATGACAAAAGTAGGAACAGAATAATTGCAGTAAGATTAAAAAAAAACTTTCCTCAATTTTGCTGTGATTGGAACTTTACACATTTCTAGGTCGTTGATAAGCACTCGTGCTGTTCAGCCTAATTGAATTCCCATCACTCCCCTAACCCCCTCCCTAAAAAAAACAAAAAAATCATGATAAATTTGTAGTAATGTGGCTAAACTATCATTAAAGCAGAGTGGGGGCATATACAATGTACATGTTTTTTCACAAAAGTAAATTAGTAATTTTACTATTTAATTTCATTTCTCTTTAACTTACAGAAAGATATTTAAGAGCGGATTAAAAACAGATTGAAGATGTGATGGGGACAGCGACAGTTGACCGTATAATGAAAGTACCACCCTGCCACTGACACATTATAATTATACCGAGCAGATGTGTATAATAACACGACCAACGTCCTTTAAAATGTTGATGAATCAATCTGACATTAAAATGGAAATAAATATTAATGAAGCATATCATTTTCTATCACATGTAACATTGTATTTATCATGGAGGCTAGTAAGGATAAGTTCTTCTCCCGCCAACCCCGCCCTCCCTCGCACAACTATATTTTCGCTTATCCATCACAAAAAAAATACTTTCTTCATTGCTAATTAATTACTTGCTTATGCACATACATGCTCTATAAATGGTGTTATAATGTGACAAACCCAAATATTGAAAACAATGTTCCTAAACAGTCATCATCCATGGTTTTATGGCGAGTGGCATCATCTGAGAGATTCATCTCGTGAATCACCATGGTATCTTAAGGCAGAGTTTCCTTTCAAAAGACAACAACTGTTTCACAGAACATCATGCAGAAGGCAGGATTGAAGACAGAGTTTCTTGACAAAGGACTCAACCAAACCAGCACAAAAAGGTCGGTGATCTGAGCTTCAAGAGAAACAAACCATCCAGAGAAGGGGTTGAAACATATCTTCACCTCTACAGAGAGAGCTAAAGAAGTCCAAAAGTAACAAGATGTGTTTATGAAACACTATGCACCTCACTGATTTCCTGGTCACTCTTGATCCACAAATTCAAATGTCCACAGACTGTTTATAATAAGTATAAGTAGATTTGTTTGACTTTATTTATCCATGCAGTCAAGTGTCCACAAAGAAGTGATTTTTAGGGGAAACCATGAAATATCTATCGGACAGACGGACAGACAGATGGACAGACAGATGATGCACCATGTTTAAAACTTACTTGTCATCCTCTGGCCAAGTAAGAATCCATAGTTCCTGCCAAAAGAATTCCAATTAATTAAAAAACAAGAAATACTTATTTTCTTTTTTGAAAATCTTTGTTTTATTTTTTTCAATCATCTTTCCTGTTTACTGGTAAATAAACATCCTTCGTCGCCTTCTTTTGTTTACTGTCTTTTGAATCAGTAAACATTTACAATGTATGTATGGAAAAAAAATGAAAATAAATAAAAGAAAACTGCTTATGATATCAGTGAGAAAATATTGTTTTGTTTATGTTTGCATGGTAAACTTGTAAAGAGAAATATTTTAGTTAACAGATATATTTCGTTAGAACATTAAATTGATCTTCAAGAAAATAATTCCTGAATCAAAGAAAGAAAATACCATACATTTGAATATTTTCTCTTTGTCTATTTTTTTACTGGACATGTAGATGGTAAAAATCTATTTTTAATTCCAGTTGTATTTCCAACTAAATCAAAAATTATGTCATTTTTGCAGTCTTCAAATAATAAAAATAAAATGTTCTGTCCGGTTATGGACTTGAATTCAATGGGATAGTTGTATTGATATCATACCTGTAGTAAGTGGTGCCTGAAGGTGACGAGACATAAAAATACTTTGTACCAGTATCTACAGAAATGCCTACGTATGCATTGTACTTGGTTCAATCAGTGTAAAAATGTCAGCTTACATTTTACATCATCATTCCTTTTCCACTGAGCTCGTGCAAGTACTTTATGATGATTATGAATTTTTCAACGGCATCTGCACTTTAGAAAAAATTGCTGAATATTTCTTTTTGAGGAACTTTTCAGTAAATAATAAGTAGCAGAAAAAATCGATAATTGGAAATTGCTTTAACTTACTAAGGAGCTGCATGAAATAAATTCATGCCTACCGAATAGAATTTAATTGATAAATTGATTAAATAGAAATCTTTGATATCTTGAAAATCTTGCAATCAAATTCCACAAAGACAGAAAAAAAGATAGACAAAAGACTTATATCATCATCATGCTACAAATCTTCACAATTTGTGCATATCCTATATTTTATATTCAACATTAAAATTTAATCTGAAATTTCATAATCATAATTTTACCTGACAAACAAATTCTATTTGTAATTCTTTTGATCAAATTATATTTGAAGTAAGATTTGAATCCAAAATAATTTAAGGACTTACATTGTGTGGACTTATCCAAATTTTAATTATGAATTGAGTCTTTCTTTTGGTAATGCTGAGTTATCTGCCCTTTAAGGCAGATATTGAACATAATTTCCTCCTGAAAATTAACGGCTTAAGAATCAACACCTGCTTAAATGAGCAGATAATTCTGCAGTATGAAGCAATGGAATGGGATTCAAAAACAATTTTGAAATCTGGCCTAAAAAAGTCCTAAAATGGTGTCCTAAATTTGCCAAAAAAAGTCCTAAAAATTACTGTGCATTTTTCATAACACGACCTAAAAACTATTTTAAAGATAATGCTTCTTTTTCCTAAAACTTATTTCAAGTACATTCATAAAATTGTTAGTAAACAAATGGAACACATCACAACCATACCAAACATTCTTTTGATTCCCTACCAACTGAAACTGTGAGTAATACATTTAACAATTACATGTAGCTTGACCAGGAATCTGATTCTTAGAACTAAGAATTGCTTTTCTTTAAGGCTATTTCAACACAGAAATCTTATCAAGATCTTGATATATCTCTGAAGCCACAATCTTGTATGTGCTTCCTGCCTTGATGTAACTACAAACAACTTACACAAGATTCTGCAGTGGCTGTTAGAATTATATTTATCTCAATAACTTGCCAATGAAGTTCTCAATAACAAGATAGTTAGGTAGAAATCATTCCAGGCCGTCTGTAGTATAAAGGTCAAAAAGCAGCTGTTACATTAGAAAGGGGCAGCACAGCAGCCAAGGAAGCAAATAAAAACACAGTAAACACTACACTTTACAGAGGCCAAAACATATTTAAGACCTAGATGTAAAAAAAAATGTACATAATGTAATTAATTGTCCTACTCTGTCTTCAGTTACATTATAACTCTACAAAGTGAAATGTCTAGTTCCAATGGTAATTCAATTTCATATATCAGTAATTTAGAAATTTAATTATTCAATATTACAAATATAAGTGTCCGCATGAGAATTTGAACAGTTGACAAAAGGATATTTGACCTCAAATCTGTTTCTTAAAAGCACTTAAGGGTTAAAAAAAATACCAGGGAAAAAGCATTATTTATTAAAGCTTAAGGAAAACATTGCCAAAATAAAAACATCATAAAGGATTCATGATTTTTTGAAGATAAGAAGATAGACCTGATTTGTCATGGCAAATTGTTTTCCTGTCACTCTCATGGTATATTATGATAATGTAACTGAAGTCATAAGTCTCAAACCATCACTTCCAAAACAACAGATTTCATTCAGGCTAATTCATCTTAGTTACTGTTACAATGCACAAAACATAGTGCTATTTAGTTACGATCAACGCTATAGCACCTGTATTTGTTACATTGAATTGGAAAAGTTTTACTTGAATACATAAAAAAAAAACAAAAACCCCAAAAATATCTTTCCAATGAAAAATTCTGTTACTTGCCAGCATATCATAACCATATTGAAAAGAAGATTAAAATGGTTATAGATACAAATGTGTTTAGTGTTACATAATGCAACATGCCAGTTGTGGAAAGAAATTGAAAACCTTTCTTTTCCACTGTTTTTAAATTTCAATTACATGCATGTAATTGCTGTCATGATTGAAGCTTTATGACTGTGGCATAATATCAGAAAGATGAACAAACCATCGATAAGCAAGATTTGTATCAGCAAATTTCACACATAAGTGTTGTATGTGTTCAAATTGTTATTTTTTTTTTTTTAATATTTCAACTCTCTATGAATGTTAAATAAAAAAATACAAAAGTAATTTACTGAATTGGAAACAATGACTGGCTATCAGACTGATTAGCCATAGCTTTATCATAGTCAGAATGCCAAAATGTATTTCTCTGTACCTGACAGGACCTTTTCATGAAGCATGATTTATGAACTCAAAGAAACAAAAATTTGAGAGAAAGAAAGGGTGAAAAATAGATGCAGAAATAAGTTAAGTAAAAGCAAATATAGAAAAATATAAAAAAAAAAAATCATCTACAACAATTTTACTTGAATAAATAACACCCCCCAGAAAAATATGTCTCTGTATGTATGCAATTGTACCTCGTGGTAAAAGATTATAATTTTGTTCTGCTGATGTTAGAGAATATCATTTCCATGATGTTTATTTTCTATCATAAAGAAGAGAGATATGTGTCCAATATTCAAAACACAAACCAAGAACTTACAAAGTGTTTCTTTGTCAGTCTGTACACAAGACAATCACACTTTAACTATACAATGCAATGTTCGTGAATTTCTTGTACATAAGACTGACAAATTTCATGAGCTTCTCAGAATAAATATCCAGTCTGTCTGATATCTTCAATATGTTGCACATAGTGGTGTCAGAATTACTATAGTATTATCCACGTAAGGGAGGTAATTTTGTCAACTTGAAGAATTTGGAAATTAAATCAGTTTGTTTTGTATTTATACACATTCGACTCAATTGTGTGCGAGAAATAGAATCTATAACATGTGTTCTAGATCAATGTATCTCCAGTCTTATTTCATCATTCAGTTATAATTTGTTCTTGACTTTGCTTGGCGTTTTATTTCAGAATATTGGGAATAAATCAGAACATAGTGAAACGAATTGACTTTGAACAGAAAAAATTAGCAGATTCTATCATTCTTCTATAACGGACATCATGAATGGGCCTCACAACATAAAGTTGTGCATGACATATTAATGGGGAGACCTTGATTGTATGTTGGGCTAATTAAAAAATGAAACCATATTTAGTTCTATGATTTTCTGAAGTTTTAGTAAATCTTAAATAACTATTTGTTTCATTGTAAACGTCTAGGAAAAAAAAAAAAAAATCTCCAAAGTAGATACACATTAAACTAATTCAGACAAAATGGTTGGAAATGTTTTTTGAAAGAAATATCCTCCTTGCTATCTGTATATTACTGTGTATGAGATTACGCTGTGTTGAGGTGTTGAATGCTCCTTTTCGTGGCCAGGACTCTTCACGAAGACACAGGTGAGGCAGACGATGGGGACATTGACTTGCGCGATTCTGTTTTTTGTCCCTCTTCTGTTGTATAGTGTTTACGAACCTAAAACAAAGTCATCCATATTAAGTGTTGGTGACCACTTGATTTATTTTGTCATCCACATCTCCCTACATTTCTTTTCAAACTTCAATCTTTTATTTTAAAGCACTGTAGAATCTAAATAAAACAGAAACCTCAACGAAAATGAACATTTCATCTTTCAAAGTGCAAAAATTGTGTTAGGATAAAAATTAAATAACAATAACTACAGAACTCTGTGTAGAACTTTGAATTCAGGGCATGCATACTTACTATTTTTTTCACGTGACTTAACAACTGTCCATCTTTGCCTCGGCAGTCATCCACACTGTAGGGTGGCCGTATTGACACCTCATCCATCACTATGATATTCTTGCCCTCCCATCTTGAATCATTAAGTCTGTAAACATAATGATATTGATCAACTTGTAGAAACCTACACATGGCAGTTCTAAATCTCCCTACTAGATTGAAAAGATACACATCAATTCTCTACTCCCTATGACCATCACTGTACAAAATACTGTAATACATTTGTATATCAGAAGATTAAACTGAATCTTGGAAAATCTAACCAGTAATAGATTCCAGGAAAATGTGATTTTACCTTAAATAGTAAAGACTGTTCCAGAATCAATTTAGGGGTAATGCTTGCAGGCATGTATTAAAAGTGATGGAAATCAGTTCAAGTTTCATAACTGCTCAATGAAAATTTTTAACAGATCAACTTTCCATTATAATTGGTTTTACGCCATTATGCCAAGCATAACAAATGGAGTTTTCTCTTTCTTGCTTTGAAAATAATGTACTTGTTTTCGAAATCATTGTTTATTTGAAGTTTTGAATCTGTAACTGCAATACACTAGTTCATGTATTAAATACCAGACAGAAGGCTGCTAGTTGTAGTTACCTCTAAATCAACAATTCTACATAAAGAATTACATGTGTCCTTGAATTTCTCAGATTTCCAAGTTATCCCTAAACTCTAATGATTTAATGCCTTTGCAAATTTGTCATCAACTAAAAAGATTTCATCTCTTTAATCAATTTCAGATTATTTTTCATCACTACAATTAATTGAATTCTATTCCATCATCCCTTAATTTTTTCCTGATCTCCAGTTCCCTACCAATAACATATGTTAGTTATCATAACAGATGCCTACTAGCCACAGCTTTACATATATTAGTGTGTTATTTTCTCCTCACCCTACACATAATTCTGCAATAGAAACGTTAAAGCTGACAATGCAAGTTAAGAAAATCAAATGTTAAAAAAAAAAAATCATTTTTTAGAATTCTACTTAGACCTTCCCCTATGATAACAATTTCTTTCAATCATTGAATCTAAGTTATTGGCTGACATCTTAGTTCAAGCCTTGCTTGGAAGCATGTACAGACATCCCAGGGTATAATAGGTTTGCAACCTGTCAAACGGATTATCGTTTTTATAGATGCTGTATATAAGAACGTCTATTTTTTTGCTTCCATTTTTTTCTTCTTTCAAGTAAATAAAGGATCTAGAAATGGAAGACTTATCTCTGACAAAAATATACAGTATTAATCAAACAATAGAAATAAACATTCATTTACAATATAATAGACACTCAAAAAATGTAGAAATGATAAATGACAGGTTGTATGCCTTTTATACCCTGTGATGCCTGCTTGTTGCCAAGCTGGACATAGACTAAAATGTTGACCACTTCCTTAGACACCATGACCATAAGATATCATTAGGTGAATCTCTGAAGAATTTTCGGGACAAACCTTTTTTTCTTATCTCCAATGGAAAGCTTTTTAACTTGCTTTTTCAACTTTAGCAGTAATTATAATGTCACCAGCTGGTTGAGACAGAGGTAATATTATATACTATTAAATGTTTTAACCCTTGAAACATTAGGGTCTTTACTACATACATATGCACCTGCACTAACCACTGTTTATCCATGTAAAAATTTCTGGTGATTTGTAATGCTCACACTGTTTTTAATATACATGTAATTTCATACACGTAAACCAAAGACAAAAAAATTATGTAAACAGAAGAGATTTCCTGCGTCACACCTGACTTACGTTTTCACAATGGAATTGAACACCTTCTGTCCATCAGCACTAACTCCTATGCCAACATAGTTCACTTTCTGCTTCTTTGCATCCAAGTTCTCTCTCAATCGGGATGTAATCTGTAAGAAACAATAATAAGTGTAATATTTCTATCTGTTCAGTCTACAACAATGAACCTCTTTACGAAATAAGAAGATTATGGGTTCTCAAAAGTTGGTATAAACTAATACAGTGAAAGTGTTAGTCCAGGTCCCAGTAACCTGAAGTGATCTGAAGTTTAAAACCGTCTTCACTTTTTCATGGAAGAAATGTCATGTGATTGGTGAAGCAAAAACTTAGGTTAAAGTTTGTTTCATGGTCCCTGGGCAATGATTCAAATGTTTCAAGTCTTGATAATCATGGAGATGTAACACAAGAAAAGTGTTGTATAGTCATCTGATCTTTAATACATAACCTGCATATGCACATCACTTTTTTTTTGTTGCCTACCTGGTAAATCATTGGACTACTACATGTTATTGCAGTTCCTGTTTTACAGTGATCTGGCACACTTTTGTAATATCATGTTATTAGTGTACTCTACAACCAATATTGATATATATCGTGATACTGCAATATCATTGTTCATTATATTGAAGTTTGTACAATTGTGTATGACCAAATATCTAACTCTGATTAAATTTTGCCAATTTGTAAAGTAGTCATCCAATTTCTATATATTTTATTCATGTAATCTTTATGTATGTCATATGTTTACCCTATCCCTCTTTTGAATTCTGATGAAAAAGCTTGTTGTCCAAGATTTTTCCATTACTCAATGTAGTCCAAAAAATTCCCTTTTTCTACATTGGGTACCATTCTTCATATTCTGGATTAAACCATACATGGTGCTGTGATACCTCTGTTAATCATACTGGGTCGTAGTATGCTATGTACAAACCTTCTGTAAGTTAAGACTGGTCAATGCTGGGGCTGGCTCATCCGACTCCTGAATGACTTTAATGTCACTCACATATGCCAGGTTCACCATGCGGATGTCATGACGATTGTGTTTTCCACTTGCTGCAGAAGATTCTTGACATGGTTCAGGAAACATTATTCAATTCAATAAACTTAGGAAAGGTTACCTTTCAAAATAGGACAAAGTGATATTAGATACTGAAGACAAAAAGATACCTAGTATGTGCATGGTGTTATCAATACAGTTCACATGCAGTCTGTATACATGTACTCATATCTGAGTGTGTGACGACATTACCATCAGATTAATAGTCCAATGTCCACATCCTGTGATAGAGTTCTTGAGTTTATAATCATTTCTCCTTGAAGAGTCAGCACCATTTTTGAGGTGAGGTTTTCTTGTATAAATGGTGACTACTTCATTAAATGTCATATGCAAGCCCACTGCATGCTATTAAGAGCAATTGGAGTAGTGTCTTGCTCAAGGATATAGCATTAAAAACATGAATCTTGCACATGATGACCAGTTTGTCATTCTACCTCTCTGAATGTCGCATGGGAGGCCTCTACATGCAATCCAGAGCAATTGGGATAAAGTGTTTTCCTTCTGGACATAGCATTAAATTGGCAGAATATTGTGTGCACATGATAGTCTGTTTTCTCACTTTCCTGGGACACAACTATCTTAATGAACAGCATGTGGGATGTCTGCTGCATGCAATTGTGATCAAGGACACAATGTAAACTAAAATCGGTCAGCAAGAGGGTCCATTATCTTTATTTCCTGAGAATTTGTAAACAAATCACTCAAACTTACCTGTACAAACACCATTATATCCTACAAAGACAATACTAACATCAGCAGTAAAGAGTCAGACCAGTTCATTACCAAAAAATAAATTCATGTTAGTCTCAATTATATGTTACTGTTTTATGGAACGATTCAGTGTAAATATGAACTTTATTCAGTAACTGATACCAGTATTTTATGTAGGGTCGAAACGTGCAAAACAACTTTGGGCGAAACATCTGATAATCCTGGATACATTTGTGTGTTCATTACAATATCTTCGGCAGTATGAAAGACATTTTAGTTTGAGATATATTACACTGCTTACATATATCTTTGCACAAAAGATAATATACATACAACTCGCTAATTTTGTGGTATAATTATAATAACTCTGCAGTAAGCACGCCCCTCTGTTCGAGTAGAATTTGACATACGATTAATCAATTTCCGATTATTCTAATGAAAAGCTTGCCTTACCAAACAGGCATTCCTATTCAATATCTATAATATTTTTAAGAAACCCAACGACAAATGGCCACAACTATTGTGATACGCTTTGATAGCCATTTGTTTTGCATCCCGGTTCGATCCGACGTGTGTTGTCATTCGACGACATCAAAAATAACGAGCTATACACGGTGCAAAGGATACTGATTGCAAGCATTTTTGTTCCTTCATCAAAAGCAAGTACTTCTCCTTGTATTTTCTGGTTATAGCATGTTGTACAGCTTACGATACTTCCTATACTGAAGTATTCGCCGTCCTGTGCCATCTCGATCTTCATTTTTCGCTGGACAGCCTTTTTTCAACATCTGTGCCGCACCTTCAAGTATCGTCGCTTCTGATTGGCTGATATGCACATAGTATACCGTGATAAACCACAAATTGTTTTCATTATTGACGATATTTGTTAGTTTCTGACTTATTGAACTCTTGTAGCTCTGTAATTCATATGATTTATAAAAAATTAGGAAATTAATTAACCTGACATTTTGTTTCGAAATATTTCTTAACTTGTAAGAAGATTTATGTTGTAGTTTTCGTTGTGATTAACCTGAATGATCAGTCATTACTATCAGGGTAACTGAGAATAATGCACGCCCTTTGTTTCACACAGTCATGGTCACATGTTTGTCCATTGTGGACAGGTTCAGTCTTTTTTTCCGTGTGTAGTTAAGGCTAACTCAATCAATTTAGATTCGAATTTCAATTTCAACATAATTTTTTAACCAAATTTATTTTATTATTTTTTTTAAGAAGTTTGGATGTTTGATATTTTATAATAATAATTATTATGTAACGTTAATTAAAGAAATGAGACAATTCAGATAAGCTTGTAAAAACAATAAACCGGTTTTATATGTTTTTGGAATATCCGTTATTTCTTTAAGTCCACTTTACACGTACGTTATGTATCTAAGTCCGTTATATCTATCAATGGTCAGTTATGATAAACACAAGCAGACAGTATCACTCCCCCATTCATAGTCTCGACATACGCCATATATCATAAAGTACACTTTAAATTTCTCATTTATCTGTGTGTGTTGAACGCGTACGTTTGTACAGGTTTTATACTGTTTAAGGATCTGTACCTGGGTTTGTTGACAAACCACTCGAATCATATAGTTTTATTATTATTCTTATTATTATGCTTGTTTACATATTATGGAGACTTAGATCTAGACACGGATTTAAATAGATCTGCCAGATCCGGGATTTAAAGGTAAGTAATTGGTCACACACTTCTCGCTTGTTACGGTGATCATACGATTGGTTTTAATGACACAAACCTAATTAAAAATTACTTTTATGTAACTCTACAATTTTGTATTTAGAATATACCGTATAGCGGAAATAATTCAATTATTTCATCGGTTAGTGATATCAGTTCATTGGTAGGCTATAAATAAACACCTATGAAATCGAAAACTAATTCGGACAAATATCGAGAATACCAAAATACATGTAACTATGTTAAATGTGTTTCCCGAAATCTTTTGGTAGGAGTCGTACTTAGTGTTCGATATACAGCACATTTTGTAATGGAATATTTATAGCACATTTGGCTACAGGAATTCCGTCTCGGACATGCCGAGATGCTATGGACCACAGGGATTGTAACTTAATGGAAAGTAAACCTGCTTTAGTTCCATTATGATTTTACAATGGTTAATCTAAATCCCCGTGTTGATTTTTATGATGTTATGTTTGCTGGCGATCCCCTAGTCACTAGTACCCCGCGATCGATATCAAACATAGCAATCACCGTGTCAACCATGATCGGTTTTGGCGATTTGTAAAATGCACACACATGTCTAAAAATATATAACGAAATCACTAAAAACAAAGGCGAGATAAAATATTTCAATCAAGTATGGGTGCATTTCTTTTCGGAATGTGATAGCTCTGCGTGGCTTCAGTAGATACTGATCAACGTTCTAATTGCTTATAAACAGGTTTGGGGGAGAGTACAAAGGGAACATCTTGTTTGTCTGTCCACCTGTCCAGAACCTTACAAGCACATCTTCTCCTACACTGTCCGATAAAATTTCATTGAAACTCGTCGCTCGGAAGTATAGAGAAGACTTAGATATTGTAAAATCAAAGAGCATTACATATTGTGATATTCAGCAAGGTTAATATGTCACAATATACACATGTAACACTTGAATATCTGACACTGGGTATAAATCATTCCCGTATCAATAGGTGCTAGTTCAGAAGTCAGTGTAATAAATAAAAAAAATTGTTACACAGATATGCTTATGTTGATAAGCTCATAAACTTCATATCTTCGTTCTTTTAAAAAACGAAATTTATTATTTTTTTCTTCAATTTTTCAAAAGCAAATATGTAAAAATACGACAATATGGCAAAGAAAACGAACAATCATTTAAAATCTGATGTGACCTATTTACAGGTACAACGTAGTTTAGTATTTAGTTTAACTGCCAAACAACATATTGCACCGAACGAATCGTCACGAAAGAATGAACACACATACACATTTTCCGAATTAAAACTCAGGACAAGTGTCGAGTGTTTAAGGCTAAACCAGGAAGTAAAAGTTTGGCGTTTGGGATTACCTATGTAACAGGAAGGATACCTCTGGCGATAGGGATGCTTTGACAATGAGGGAGGAGAGTTCACATGTCTGGAGAGAAAAGTTGATACCAATGTACGGAATTTTGTTTGTACTAATTTCATCAGCAGGTAAGTTAACTATGATTTCAATTTATTTATCCGTTGGAAGAGTTTCGGAGATAGAAAACCTGTAACTTACCACCGAACGATTACGAAATAGTGCGAAATCCCTGTGGCCACACCAAAAATATGTTATATTACTTGGCAAGGGGAGTAATGAGGTCGGGTTCGGATAGAATTAGGATAGAAAAGCTATATACAGATTTTGTCATATATTTGGAACAGTGCACACAGACCTCGAATGAAGAAAACTTTAACCGAAGCTTGTATCGTGATATACAAATAAATGGTGATGAAATAATAAATAAACAGTCGAACCTCGTTATCTCGAACTCGTATAACTCGTAAATGATAAATGAATTAGTTTGTCTGAAAATACGATATATAGCGACATGCTTAGGAATTATTACCCCTGCTTAAGGTCTTTAAACTAGGTACCGAACAGTAATTTCATCTAAGGCTCTAACGAAATGAAAAGTACAAATATTTTTTATAAATTGGAAAAGTTATGGTGTCAACTGCTTGGCTAGGTAGGGTTTGCCCCGGTATTCAGGTCTCATTCCTCAGTAAGACCTTCGCGTATTTCCCTGCAGATCAACAAGAGTGATTCAAGTAAGCGATTAATTTGTTTCGCAGATGTCGTGTGTAAGAGAGGTCGTTATTTATTTATTAAGTTTTTGAACCCGGAACGTCTGGTTTACTTGTCCAACCGGTTGAATTAAAAAAAAATTCTCTGTAGCCGAGCGATATATTGTGACTAGTACTAGTATTTTGCCAGAGTTGCTGGCAGATACTCAACCGGGAAGTTGATCGAATGATTATGTTTAGAATTTTTGCATATATAGGATCTCATGCATGTAACATTTATACGGTAATATCCGTAACGCCAAGTCAGAACATGAGCTTATTGTAATAAAAAAAAAATCACTTCTAAAGTGTTGTGTATTAGTCCTATTTGGTACGCTTAAAAAAATCCCACAATACTTCATGTTCAATCTAAATCTTGTCATTGTTGTTGCTTTCGGAGATTTCAGGGTAATTTTCATTTGGGATTATTTGACGAAAGCTATTATATAACGTGGTTAGTGCTTATTGTCAAATGTCAGGAGGTAGTTTTGATTTCACCAATGAGATTGGTGATGTCCCACCGAAAATGTTACTGGGAGCAGTTAATTAATGGCGAATATCTAATGATATTTGATAATTGAATAACGACGCCCGATAGATATCCAGGTTTGAGTCAGTGGAGAGACGGAATATTCGTAGGTATTGAATTATAAAACTCCACGAATCCCCACAAATAAAGAAAGATAAAAAATATTGTATGTTTGACAGAAGATGTTAGTATACCATGTTTGTGACATACGTATACTGTGTCATTGATAATTGTGAACTACACAATCCCCCTCCACAGAACCATTGTTACACACTCCTATGTTTTTCGTTATCATTAGATCGACAGTCACTCTGTTCAGTGTGAATTTGTTTACGGGTTTAAGCTACAACTTAGGGAACAAGTATTATGTGGTACACAATAGGGACTTCAATATCTTTGTGTTAATCAGAACAATAGTTCTTAAATAAATAAATAAGATGTTCAAAATTACACATTTCTTGTAGAAAATGATAATCAACTATTGCATAGTTACAACGGACACAGAGAAGGAGCACATTCTGGTATAAATGTTAACTCAATAATTTATCAAAAATTCGACAAACCTACAAATTTTTGTGAAGAATTTCAATCAGATATGTTTTAAAAAATCTTGCATTCTGAGTTGACATGAATAAGTAAAGTAATATTCTGGTTTTCACTCTTCGAAATTTTACCCATTCATTTTCGCGATGCGAAATCGAATGTAGCCCAAGAACAGTGTCTCCTTAGATAATTAAGATACATTTGAGCATGTTAAACTTTTTTCATGCAATAAATGATATACCAATTAAATTTCATAGATTGATTCATGCTGAAAAATCTTTTATTTTTGTGCTGCTTCATTTTCGTAGTTTATAAAAACGATTTCTTGAAGATTTTATTTCGTGGATAATCATATGTCATTTAGTACACTTATACTGAACCTAACAGTTCACGAACATATATAAACTCGTGGATTAAGAACATATACGAAATCGGAGAAAATAGATATCCCACAAAAGTGATAATCTTACTGTCTTATTGTCTATAATAAACGAAACGAAATAAGATTATTTGGCATGACTACACGTGACGCTTTTTACTTTTATAAGGTAGTGATCATATCAATTAGTATCAATCTGTATAGGTTACTTGGTTTGGTAGAGCTTATAATATCAATTTATATGAATCTGCTTCAGTTTAATTACTTATTCGGCTCTACAGTGTTTAATTCTAAATTTGTTTTGAAATGTGCTTTCCAATTAATGTGGGTGTTTCTGTGTATATATAAATCTTTGAACAAAAATGAAATGTGAAAACCCCAGGTACACAATAGTGGTTTAACATGAAATGTATAATTAGATAAATATAACACGCATTACAATCAATTGTTGCAAAATTAATTTGCATTTAAAGTTTTCTAAAGAGATTTGGAACTTAAAGTATGATAGCTTTAAAATAATAGACCTGACAAAATGTCATTTGAAACTATGAAGAATGTCACTCCTGGATTTACGGTTTACATAACATTGAGGTGAAAGACTGATAATCTTTCGTAGGACTTGTGTGAAAGTCCAATTAAACTTTTCATGTACCTACTTAGCTTCGCAATGTTTTCATCGGTCTCTAATGATTATGAAACATTTGATACAATTTGAGGTATATCATTATTGAGGGAGAAGATCAACGTTATTTTCATGAATATTTGAGCTTGATACGAATTCATGCAAACATGTTCATTTCAACCAATTTCAGGAGCAGTGACAATATCCGGACCGCCCGATTATGTGTCTCCAGGACAACCTTTTATCTTAAGCTGTAATGCTACAGACGGTGTTCAAAATATGACATTCTACAGAAATTCAGATCAGAATGTAGGAAGCATTGGGGTGATAGATGATGAGTGCTTTATTTATTATAACATTACTGGAACTCCTTGTACATCTTCTGTCTGCTCCTGTATGCCCTCGAACACAAGCCTTGGCACCTCATTCACATTGACGACAACGCCAACGGCACAGGACCACAATTCAAATTGGTTCTGTCAATCAGCGAGAGGCTTTATATCTAATGAATACCTTCTTCGAGTAGCAAGTGAGTATAATGTATGCATAATTATCACATATAATAAGAAATCATAATGCACTATGCAAAACCTACAAACAACATACCAACATGTCGATAGAGTCATAATCAAAAGTCAATAAAACTGGGGGAAAATGTGAACAAAAGAAAGATTTACGAGGAGACTCCTGAAAAAAAATACAAAGAGGATAAGACATGGTGTTCCGGTAGAACGAGCGTTGTCTGCTTATTTCCCGACACACGACATATAAATCTTGGTCTATGTACAATTGTTGTCTTTGAGGAAAGAGAATATAGGTTTTATAAATAAAACCATCGTAATATTTTAGCAAACGTGAGGTACTGGACACAATGCAATTAAACTGCTAAAGACCATACATATTTCTTCAGTACAAAATCAATAAGGAGAAATCATAATCATTGATAGTAAAAAGTGCAATCATTATCAACACTTTCTCTGTCAAGATTTAATTACAATTTTCAATATCTTGAATGTCAAAATATATATCTTTCTCCTTCGATATGCAATTTGCAGAAAGCCCAGGAACATCAACATTCTTAAGTCCTTCGGATACAAGTTACACTTTAAATGAGGGCTCCATGTTGCCGAGTATCACGTGTTCAGCTGAGTGCAGACCTGGGTGCTTATTTGTTTGGACAAAACCGGACAACATTAACTTCACTGCCTCTCCGGTGTTGTCACTTGGTCAGCTGGACAGGACGAAAACAGGGGAGTACAGTTGTACTTCTTGGAATGATTACGGCTTTCACACAATTAAAATCATGTTGAACGTTCAATGTAAGTACATGTAAGTTTATGTACATTTATATTAGTAACAACACTAGTATGCTGGTCCCTTAAGGAGAATACTCATACTGCATATAAGGTAAAATATCTGTTGATTATTGTGTTGATCATGTTTAACATTTTTTGATGGTGGTGCATCCTCGACACCCCATGGTTTACGATCACTTTCGCTCCTCTGCACCCCTGAATTATGGCATAGCATTACTGAAGGTTCCATGTTCGACATCTTGAGGTCAAGACAAAAAGAATTGTTTGATCCTTTGATGTACACCAAACGAATCTCGAGATCGCATAACGGTATATTGTAATGGGTTTGAAGTGAGGTGTCGCTCCTTTGTAATCTTCAAAAGGAGCGTATCAGCCTGTAATTGGTCAAATTACTTCGCCTTTGCCTTCAATTTTGCCATGACATGCTCCAGGGATACAGAGAGTGAAAGTGATCGCAAACCCTGGGGTTATAATATGATTTTCATATTTAGGTACAAAGATTCACGTAACTTTTTGTTAAGGATATCAATGAAAGTACAAAAGACACCTTTTGATATAGATTTAGAGCTAGAGACAGAAGAGATAAACAATGAATTCAACTGTATCTTACAGTTGTTTTGTCTTTCTAGGACCCGTCAGTTTGAACGATGCCTAGAAGGCATATGATGAAAATCCACAGTAATCGGAAGAAATGTCAAGAGCTAAATGGGGTGGTGCACTATTCCCATAATTAAATACATTTCTTAATTTTCCTTTGTCTGATAATTCTGGTGCTTCATAGTGGTTATGTATATTCTGAACATTGCCGTTATTCGAATGAATGAAAACTTGGCGTACATTCAAACTTGAATGAGAGATAGAAATACACAAAAACGTTATTATAAATGCTTCATTTGAATAGAATTTCTTTCAAAAATAATTCTATTGGATTCGTCGTTTCAGCCTTAGATATCACTTCCACGATGAAAACGTCCGTGAAAACTCTTCAAGAATACACATAATTCTATCATATCTTATTCGCTTTATGCTATTTTCGTGGTTTAGTATAGCATTGAAAAGGATGTAAAATTGGTTTCACGAGTGAGTTTCATCCATGTAATATAGTGCCATCAACATTGCATATTATATTAAACCACAAATTTGTAGCCCAACGAGAGTATATGTCTTAACTGTAATCTGTATGAGATCGAAAGAAAGTATTAGTATTGAAAGTGGAAGTCGATTGTAGATGGTCCAGGAGGATCTATTTCCCTAAGCCCTTCACGTTCCACCTACACTGAGAATGAAGGTTACCCGTTACCCAGGATCACCTGTTCGGCAGATTGTTCCCCTGAATGTAATTACATCTGGTCAAAGCAGAACGAAGGCAACATCACTGTCGGAAGCTCATTGGTACTGGAGCAACTGAATAGGTCGGAACACGGGCTCTACATATGCACTGCCCGGAATGAAGTTGGCGAGGCCACCAAGCAAGTTGATATCATTGTAAAATGTAAGCAAACCTTCAAAACAAAATGATGCATACTCAAGAAAACATTGATTGAAATAAATATTTACACCAAAAGCCTTCTGTCTGCTAACTAGCTTTTATAAAGAAACCTAAATATTTTATATGTTTCATCTAATGCAATCTTGCGAAATCAGATATCATTTTACTGTTTTCAAAATATTAAGAAAGTATGATGCAACTCTTAATGTAATAACGGCGCTTAATGTAATGATTATTACAATAAGCGTTGCAACGGCTATGCTTATGTTTTCATTTCTCTCTCTTACTATTTTCGTCGTATAAAACCAATGAATACATTAATCATGAACCAAAACTCATTTCCTTACACAGAGATTTATAAATGTTTTTGATCAATTAGTTCACCCCGACCTATGTATCATGTGTCACATGACCCAAATAATTAAAGTTTATACATATATACTTACTACCGATTTATAAAAATATACATTCATAATGTCCAATTGACAAAATACTAGTTTTATATTCAAATAAAACAAATATTCGTGGTAAATAATGACATGTTTTTCCATATGATCTTATTTTGTATTGTTTAGATGGGCCAGGAATCATACAAACCTCGGTACCTAATTTGGACAAGGTTGAAAACCAGACAGTTCCAGTCATCAACTGCTCTGCTGATTGCAGGCCAGCTTGTAGTTACACGTGGTCGAAAGGTGCGGCGACATATTCCAATCCACTGTCACTGTCGACAGCTTTACGGGGAAATGCTGGTACTTACATATGCAAAGCTTCGAACAGTGTTAGCCAATCTGTCAAGGAGTGGACTTTGACCGTAAGATGTAAGTTCTTGCTTTTCTCCAAGTGAACAACCAGCGAGAAACGTTTTAAATTAGAGTATCACTAACTTATATAAATAGTAAACGTTTCCATGGAAATTGACGCCAAATATTTTTTATATTATAATTATATTGGATATCTCTATATTTTAGCTGCATCCATACATATAAGGTGTACATGTCACAGTTAATTCGATATTTAAGAATTTGTTCCAAATATCACGATCGTTGTGCTGGATGCTGTCAACTGATAAGCAAACTCGCAACACAGGATTTTCATGAGGTGCAGGTTGATTAAGGTCAAAGTTTTATGGTCGTCATAATGATTTATTGAGGAATATTCTCTTTTGTTGTGCTATATTAAGTTTGATATTCGTCAATATACCTGATGGTTTCGTTGTTTTTTTTTAAACTTTGTTTCAATTTGGAACGGGATATTACATACTTCGATCGACAAAGGATTATATAGCGGGTGTCGCCGATGAAGCAGAAGACACTTACTCTTCTGGAATATCTGGTCAAATTTTTCTGGTATTTTTCTCCGCTTAAATTATCTTTCCTATGTTCATACTTTGACCAAGTGGCATTGGATCTGAGTTTGGATTATGATTCTGTTCAGATGTTGGTATTTTTCTTGTTGTTTTTGCATGATATAACCCTAAAAGTCTTCAAATACCGATACCGCAAAACTCAAATTATTGCTATAAGCATATCCACATGTTTCAGTCCCTCCAAAAATCCTCAGTCTGATGTACACACAAGGTAATGCTGACATCACAGAAAATGCATCAAAATCAATGGTGTGCACAGTAGAAAGTTACCCAGCATCGACAATCACGTGGTATTATAAAGCTAATAATACACAACTTGCCACCATATCAGACGTGTTGAAGAGTACTTATACCCTGTCCAATGGCGGTTGTCTGGACACAGGATTGTATACCTGCTCTGCGAGAAATAGTGTTTCAAATACACCAACTACGATGGATTTGCCTGTAAACGTGTTATGTAAGTCAACAATTACAACATACTTAAGAAAATACCGTCATTTTTTGTTAAAATACTTTTCTGATATTATATCTCGTACGTACAGTTTCTTAGATATTGTAATTGCATCTGAAATAAGAACAGTAGGGGAAAGGTTACCTGTGAACAGGACCAACTGTGACGGAGTAAAAAAGATAATGTACTGTTAAATCATATTTTTGTGATACTCTATTTTCGTATTTACTCTATCTCAAAATTACCCCAATACTTAAATCTTAAAAATTTAGTAAAGTGGCGACAAGGAGATATTAATGCAAATTAAATGCAAAATGTTTTATTTGGACTGTGATGGAATAATGTTAAAGTTAAACATTATACCAACATCTTTTTGTTTTACATTTCACACGTTTTTTACACATACAAGAAAACAAGATGGTATGGTAAAATTTCTTTATACAGTCCTGTTGAATGACTGAAAAAACTCGATGATATGTTAAAGTAACACTGAAGTTATGTAATTAAATTTTCAGGTAAACCGAGAATGGATTTTCGATCAAACTCAATGCAGAATGATATAAGAATTGGTTTATCAAAAGATTTAGTTCTCAATGCATCTTACCTGTGCAACCCAGAACCAAACTTTTCCTGGCAGTTTCACAAAACCACTTCGACAAACCTTGTCAATGGAACAGACCGCATATCCATAGATGACATATTCAATGGAAGTAGTCTGTCGGCAGTTTCCACTTTGACAAGACCGTCAATGGAAGAAAGATGGCTAGGACTCTACATCGTTACTGTAACCAATAGTCAAGGTTCTCACACACATTTGTACACAGTGGCTGCGGAAGGTGTGTTTTCTCTTTTATACAAAATGTAGATGTTACATAAATGGTATTCATCTCCATCCCTTCCATGTCTGAGATTTTAGCCGGTTGTAATTTTAACTTTACCTTAAACATGATATAACTCAATTTCCGTACCATTATGTTGCAGAGAAGAAAAGATTATATGACCCAATAAACACAAAAACAATTTGCATAACATTCATTTATGAAACAAAGAAGTATAGAACCACATAACCCAAAACTTAAAAGAATTCGTATGACCTTACCATTAAGAACTCGCAACACAGTAAACTGAGCGCTTCAATAACACATACCGTGTACCCTCGGTGTTAGTTACAGTTGACTTTGTCCAATTAAAGGCCACTCAATGAACTTATTAGTCCCCTGCCGGTGAAACCAGAGGGGACTTTAGTGTTTGTCTCCGTCTGTCCGTCCGTCTGTCTGTCCGGATGTTGGTTTCCAGACGATAACTTAAGACAGATTTCTGGATTTGGATCAAACTTCATACCATGGTAGTTTATAAGGCAATATAGTGTGGGATTTTGTTTGGGATCAAAAGATCAGTTATAAAGGTCGCTGTTACTAAAAATAGAACCTTGGTACAATTTAGTTTTACATGTAAATTATCCTTAACGTTGTGCATCTGTCACTAATAAAACTACTATTTTCATAAGCCCCTGTTTAACAAATTTACAATGATGGGTTCGTTCATTATTTTCTACACTTTATTTAGTCTGGGAATTAAAACACACCTGCATAGTTTAACATATTCAGCAAGCGTGTTTTTTCGTCATACCAATTACAAGAGAAATGGGCAGAGTTTGTTATTTTCAAGTAACAGTAGGGACTAGACTGAAATATCAATCTCTCTCTCTCTCTCTCTCTCTCTCTCTCTCTCTCTCTCTCTCTCTCTCTCTCTCTCTCTCTCTCTCTCTCTCTCTCTCTCTCTCTCTCTCTCTCTCTCTCTCTCTCTCTCTCTCTCTCTCTCTCTCTCTCTCTCTCTCTCTCTCTCTCTCTCTCTCTCTCTCTCTCTCTCTCTCTCTCTCTCTCTCTCTCTCTCTCTCTCTCTCTCTCTCTCTCTCTCTCTCTCTCTCTCTCTCTCTCTCTCTCTCTCTCTCTCTCTCTCTCTCTCTCTCTCTCTCTCTCTCTCTCTCTCTCTCTCTCTCTCTCTCTCTCTCTCTCTCTCTCTCTCTCTCTCTCTCTCTCTCTCTCTCTCTCTCTCTCTCTCTCTCTCTCTCTCTCTCTCTCTCTCTCTCTCTCTCTCTCTCTCTCTCTCTCTCTCTCTCTCTCTCTCTCTCTCTCTCTCTCTCTCTCTCTCTCTCTCTCTCTCTCTCTCTCTCTCTCTCTCTCTCTCTCTCTCTCTCTCTCTCTCTCTCTCTCTCTCTCTCTCTCTCTCTCTCTCTCTCTCTCTCTCTCTCTCTCTCTCTCTCTCTCTCTCTCTCTCTCTCTCTCTCTCTCTCTCTCTCTCTCTCTCTCTCTCTCTCTCTCTCTCTCTCTCTCTCTCTCTCTCTCTCTCTCTCTCTCTCTCTCTCTCTCTCTCTCTCTCTCTCTCTCTCTCTCTCTCTCTCTCTCTCTCTCTCTCTCTCTCTCTCTCTCTCTCTCTCTCTCTCTCTCTCTCTCTCTCTCTCTCTCTCTCTCTCTCTCTCTCTCTCTCTCTCTCTCTCTCTCTCTCTCTCTCTCTCTCTCTCTCTCTCTCTCTCTCTCTCTCTCTCTCTCTCTCTCTCTCTCTCTCTCTCTCTCTCTCTCTCTCTCTCTCTCTCTCTCTCTCTCTCTCTCTCTCTCTCTCTCTCTCTCTCTCTCTCTCTCTCTCTCTCTCTCTCTCTCTCTCTCTCTCTCTCTCTCTCTCTCTCTCTTCTCTCTCTCTCTCTCTCTCTCTCTCTCTCTCTCTCTCTCTCTCTCTCTCTCTCTCTCTCTCTCTCTCTCTCTCTCTCTCTCTCTCTCTCTCTCTCTCTCTCTCTCTCTCTCTCTCTCTCTCTCTCTCTCTCTCTCTCTCTCTCTCTCTCTCTCTCTCTCTCTCTCTCTCTCTCTCTCTCTCTCTCTCTCTCTCTCTCTCTCTCTCTCTCTCTCTCTCTCTCTCTCTCTCTCTCTCTCTCTCTCTCTCTCTCTCTCTCTCTCTCTCTCTCTCTCTCTCTCTCTCTCTCTCTCTCTCTCTCTCTCTCTCTCTCTCTCTCTCTCTCTCTCTCTCTCTCTCTCTCTCTCTCTCTCTCTCTCTCTCTCTCTCTCTCTCTCTCTCTCTCTCTCTCTCTCTCTCTCTCTCTCTCTCTCTCTCTCTCTCTCTCTCTCTCTCTCTCTCTCTCTCTCTCTCTCTCTCTCTCTCTCTCTCTCTCTCTCTCTCTCTCTCTCTCTCTCTCTCATCAACTTGGGACATAAATCTAACTTCGGGAAACAAGAAACTTTCGCACTTAATTATTTGATTTAACGTGTTTGATTCACTAAAAAATCCCAAGATATTATGACTTGAATGTTTTGTTTCTTCTTTAAATAACCTTAAGGACGTCCAGTCGCCGTTGAGTCTAACGAAGCAGCTATAATTATACCTACCGTCGTCGGTGTCCTTGTTATAATTGGCGCTGTTACTGGGACTGTATTTTTCTTCAGGAGGAAAATCTCTGAATGCTTCAAGAAAGGTAAACAATATGGTTGTACATGTATTACAACAAGAATATATTAGCAAGTGAACATAATCATAATCCAAACCCAAATTAGATTTTCTAATCGCACAATAATGAAAATTTGACTGCATTTATGTATAACATTTAAGAAAAAATGACGTTCCAAACTATATACAAATATTATATCAATTAATATATTCTTTTTCAGAAAGTGATACGGAATTATCAAGTTCTGCAAAGAAGTAAGTCCGCTTTGTATTTGAATTAAATGATCAGACGAGTTTTCCTTAAATATCCACATGATATTGAATGTATTGCTACACTTTAGAAAGTTACGAAATTCCACTTAAAACATGTTCTCGAGAAATCGCTGCGAGTTAGTGACGTCCACATATGAAAAAAGGAAAAACAAAAAAGCACAAAGAAAAAAACAAGAAACACTAAAAACATTTACAGTAAATTAGAACAAATTATCAGCTTATCATAGCATGTCTTGCAAAATCATTGGGAAATCTGCAATTTTGAAAATATCATTTTCATTGTTAGCCATATTTGAACGGCTTCTCTCTGCTGCATTTAAAATCATAATTGTCCGACAAATAAGTGATTAACAATAACTGTTGGTAAATACTGACACATATCAGGCGATGTCACTTAAACTTGCTGTTAGTGTTAGAAGTATTACATATATTATCTATAAATTAATTAATTTTCGATGCAGAAAAAGAAGTTCATCACGTTTAAACATTTTAATTAATTTCGAATGGTATTATATGTATATTTTCACATGTACGTAATGTAACCTTTCAGGAAAAACACATACGACACACTAGATCCAGGACAAGTACCGATACCGATTTTGTCCGATGATGTTGAAGCCCAAGGTAAAAATACTGATAAACGTAGCCTGTAATAAAATTCACCAAAAATATTGTTCAACGGAGGAAAAGAAATTTATTTAACTTAGTCTCAGCTATGAAAGTACATCAAGAGCAATATGATATATCCCTTCTGCAAGTTTCCAGTTGAATAATATCGCATAAATAGACATAATTTAGCAGTAATCTTATTTAAGCGTTTTCACGATAAAGTTGCAGTTTCTGTATGTTGCTGGTATATCAATTATTGCAAATGCATGAACTTATCATTGATTTTATTTTTTCAAAATTGATATTGCGCTCATTTTCGATTATGTCAAAATAAATACGTTTCCAGTAAAACGAAGCGTATACATTTCATTTCACTCTGAAACATGCAAAGCAGCACTCGCAGATCGAATCGTTTTAAGACTGATAAAAAATATTATCCCTTCCTAACATAGATAAATTATACTAAACAGTCAACAAATATATGAATGTTACTGGAAACCAATCAATGAACTAATTGTGTAAGAGAGGGAAATGATAACCCAGATATTCGACGTATTTATTTTTGCGCAAAGCCAATGTTTTTGCACGATCATTTTTGAACAAAAAAGTGTAATGACGAATTCACAATAATTGCTATATACAGACACTGCATATAACAAAAATTCGTAGCACCGAAAACCGCTGAACTATGTATGTTATTGTTATTGTTGATAAGTTTTTGCATGAAAATTTGCATGAAAATTATTTACAATATTTTTACAGGAAATCCTTCAAACGAGATTAACTCAGAAAGGTTAGTAAATCAAAGCATATCTCATTATTCACTCGTCACGTTTTATAAGTATCTTCAACATCTGTTTGATATAACCTATTTGCTGACGTGCATTGTACGTTTAGTAAGAAAGCAGAATAAAGACATTAAATCAGAAGACAACGTTGAGTTTTTTGAATATGCATAGATGTATTTTATTTTTTGTAATAAAACCAGAAATTACAAACAAAAATATAAATCAATATTAAACTCTTCTCACGTTTGCCTATCATGTTGATTTAAATGATGTAAATTAAGTTTAATATTATATATAACCTATGTAGCATACGGACGGCATTGTGTTCCTGTTAATATCAACAGAAGGATACATTCCTTCACACGAAGGAATAAAACATAGGAATGTTATTGTAGTAAAAAATTATTTATATCCGTTAAAATTTTATTTTGTTTAGAACCAACAATTACGAGCAATTACAAGTAAGAGATGAACAGCGAATCTACGATGATTTAATGCCATCGAAAGGTTAGATATCAGAGATTCATAAATAAATACGTTTAAAATCTACATGCTATAGAACATTAAAATTTTGTTTCTACTCGAACAAGAAATGCATTTCTTTGATTACGGGAAGGAAACGGAACAAATTAACTTTACATTTAAAACAGTAAATAAATATTTTGGACACTATATTGGAGAAAATGTTCTGATTTGTATATACTTTCGTACGCGGCAAGCTTCATAATCGTCATATATTTTTTTTCAGGTGTACAGATGAATCCCAATTCAATAAAAGTGTAAGTATATAAAAACGCGAGTAATAATTGATACATAGGGACATTCAAAATATTTTGCGCCTCAATACAATATTTCATCATGATCACTAGATACGGTAACTTTGCAGCAATAAAGAACAAACTGCTTATTCTGATATATTAAAATCAGTCTGTTGGTCTGATATCACCCAAGGGAAAGGGGAAAAGTTAGGGGGAGGAGGGGGTGGGGAGGTTACTGTAATGTTGGTTACTGTAGTGTTAACGCAGTGACAGGCGTGTTTATTTTTTTTTAAAGAAAAGCTGTGTAAAAAAGGATTTTCTTTGATACTTTCTAGAGAACCTGAAGAAACAGCAGAAGGCGGTAAAGAGACAAATACTTACATGAACGTTGAATTCCGAAAACAGAGTAAGTTCCATCGCATCTACAACACAATTTACTCTATCAAGGACATTAGAATTGGTGAGTGGCCCGTTTCATACAAACGTCTGTAACAGCTGCCAGGATGACACTACTGGGCTGACTTCTCTAAGCTTTCTTCATGATTGGTGCATTGTTTGTAGCTGCCAGGATAAAACCACTCGGTTGAATTCTTTTGGTTGTCCTCTCCATGCTTGGTGATATTGCCATTGTTTGTAGCTGCCAGGATAAAACCACTCGGTTGAATTCTTTTGGTTGTCCTCTCCATGCTTGGTGATATTGCCATTGTTTGTAGCTGCCAGGATAAAACCACTCGGTTGAATTCTTTTGTTTGTCCTCTCCATGCTTGGTGATATTATCATTGTTTGTAGCTGCTAGGATAAAACAACTAGGTTGAATTCTTTTGGTTGTCCTCTACAAGCTTGGTGATATTTTCATTGGTTGTAGCTGCCAGGATAAAACTAGGTTGAATTCTTTCGGTTGTCCTCTACAAGCTTGGTGATGTTTTCATTGGTTGTAGCTGCCAGGACAACACCACTAGTATATGTATAATATTAATTGCAATGGAGTGTCCATAAAAAAGTAATTTCTAGTTGCAATTAAAGGGAATGGTAAAATCTAGGTCTAGGTAGCTTCACTAGGCAATAACTTGTTACCTTGTTTAAACCTTCCAGAAAATTAATGTAGGTTACAATATATTTTCGTTAACAGAAACGGAAAACCCTTATGCAAACGTGAAAAAGAAGAAACGCAGAAGGAAAAAGAAAAGTTGATGGATGTTTCTGGAAAAAATATAACCTTCAGCGTCGTAAGAGAGAGATGTTTTACCAAAGAAAATAACAGTATACACTAATATGATCTATCTGTGGTAATCCCATATTTTGTAACTGTTGTGAAATTCACATTTATATGTACGATCATAGATCTACAAAAGCATAAAGTGTGATCCAGGTACGCTCTTTTTAGAACGGTAGCAACACCGTTATCTGATATGGACCATCGACTACTTATGTATTATGAAAACCACTTAAAATATATCTTGGCAAGATAATTCTGTTATCGAGAATGTGAGTTATAGGTCCTAAAAACAGAATAAAACTTGTATTGTATCAGTATTGACAAGGCTGATGCATTTCATAATTTCTAACCTTTGAGAATCTGATGCTTTAATTGTGTTCGAAGACATTTGATTTTCATCTATTACTCTAACGGTTTTATCATTAAACGTGTCATATCATTGTAAAAGAATGTATTTTTCATGATAAATTTCAGCGATTTCACTTAAGACAAGGAAATATGAAAAGTACCATGTTGTTCCTGATTTTATTCGTCATCGGGAAAACATCCAGAGAACCTTTATTTAGCACATACACAGTACGTCATGATCATAACTATATATCTACCTTTCCTAAACCTGCCTGCTTGTATGTGAACCTTGTTGCATTAAATTCAATGAAACTAGGGTAATATATGAACAAAAAAGAAATTCGTTCAAGGAAATAAGACATTGTGTTCCGGAAAGGTAAGCGTCCTCTGCTTCATTGGCGACATTTGCCTTGTTAATCTTGGTTAATCAAAGTCGGTAATGGCGTGTTCCCATATGAGAACAAGGTCAACAAGAAAGCTAGAAACAAATCACATTTTATTATAACGATTTTGGAATATTGAGATGGATTACATATGGGTCTTTCTCTCCAATATATTCACGTGGGATATTCAAAACTTTACAATGCATTCACCTCGCATACATGGGTCTTTAAGAAATATACAATGTAAAGCCAAACCAGTCTTAAGACCTTTTAACATCAGGGTTACACTCTCCTCGTATTTAATTACATTATGCTTTGTGTTTGTTATTTTACTCACTACAAGAGCATCGGGTGCTACTATAGTTCAGTAGAATAGATAACTGTCCTGGATTTTAACCTGCACATTGGGTCAAATATTTTATCTACGGTTTTGGATGGCATGAAATATATCTGTAGATGCTCTCAAGAATCCGTAGAAGTTTTGGTTGATGAACTTCCGAGACATTTTGTTCAATTCTTTAAAATTTAAAAAAAAACTGTGCTTGAAAGTCCATTTAATGTACGTTTCAAACTTAATAAGATTTCCTTTCTATTAAAATATATATTGAATCTATTTCTTATACGAATGAAACAGTTTATACCGAAAAATATTGCTTTTTGTTCATAAATATACCGCGTCACATTTTCATTGTATCATGATTGCTTAGCTTGTTGAGAAAAGACGATGATTGGTTTTAACAGAGTTTAAAAAATGCTGACAATATTTACTCATAATGATATTTTTATTTGAAATAAATGTTTTCGACAAAAATATGAAAAGAAAAATGTTTTCCTCGTGGGAAATGTTGATATTGCATTGAAAACATATTCGTGTATGTTTACAACAAATCATGTTTAAATTCCATATTATATATCTAACCGCAATAACGCGAGTGATTTTTGCTATATCTACTTTATGCTATTGTATAAAAATGTCATAACTTTTATTGACAATTATATTGCGAAATTTCTAAAACAAAAAATACTAACATTTTCTCATTCAACTTAAAAGTGTTATCAGCAAAGATTGTTGAAAACATATGTTTTCCGTGTGTAAAATATTGCTATACCATTTAAAACTTTCTGTATGTTTGGAACAGATTATTTTTTGAATTCCATTTTATTTTTGTCGCACAAACATAAGTTGTTCAATTATTTCAATTTTATGCTATTGTATTAATAAGAGCTAACAACTACTGACAAATATGTTTGTAATTTATAAAACTGTATTTTTTCCGTGTACAGTGTAATAAAACTAGCATGCTGAACTATTGGCGGTACCAAGTACTGTAATAACTGTAAGCATAGACCACCCTTAGTAATTTATTGCAGGTGGTAAACATTGCTGGTAGACTTCAGTCAACGAGGTTTACCGTAACCTGCTTTTCACGTTTTAATTCATTCGAAAAAAAGGCATGGTTCAGGTTATACATATGAATATCTTTTAAAATATTGCAAGATTGGAATTTATAAAAGTTCTTGAGTTTTTGGGAAAATGCAATCCCGTATTTAGTTTTTTTTTTTTTTTTGTAATTTCAATTTAATGAATATTATGGTCCAAAACAGTATTGGCGTCACATTGTTTCAGATTTTATTTGTATTTGTGTCGTATAGTTTATCATTTTCATTTGATCATGACAATGGTAATACAATGGAGGTTCTTACTAATCACTGAATAAGTATACTTTATTATTTACATGTATCAGTGTATAACATACATCAGGAACGTATAATACAGGGGCTGAGAATCTGACTCTTTGTAATGCTAGAGCGAAAACTCTCCAGTTAACAAGCCTTGCTGTGTTACTAAACCATTTTTCTCCCCAGGTAAATATCTAATCTTTTCAAAATAATCAGTCGTAGAAAGCTGAAAAAATTTCAAATTGATTTTCCTAACTTTGTGACAAATAATTTCAAAATGCACATTTAAGCTATTTACAGCCGACATATCGCCCTGTATTATATACCACATTCAGTCGAAAATATGAAGAAAATCATCATGAGATAAGAGGCATTAAAAAACTGAGAACAGTGAGATGGTGGGAATTCGATGAGTTCACGGCTCAGTGAACCAACACAAAATCTAATACTGGAGAAGTCTCCACTGCGTCTAGTTTCTTAACTACCATTATCATACGTCCCTAGTTGAAAAAAAATCATTATAAATGATATCTAAACTTATGAAAGCACATTTCAAATTCTCAAAAAAAAGTAATCTGTTTACCATTTTTTAAATAACATAAAATGAAATGATAATTCTAAATAAGGTTTAAGAATGATCCAACGATAATGATTGTTTACAAAACTTATCGACAACAATGGATATATCTTGTAATCTATTGGAACAGAATATTGATCTTTTTACCGGGCAAGAAACACCATGTTTACCGATTTATTATCCCACAATAAAATGATACAAGCATAACTCATGTACTATGATATGGTCTTCCAAATTTGTCTGATGTGGAAAAGCAAAATATTTTTCATGCTGTACAAAAACAAAAGAGTAAAATATTGAAGAGTTAAGTAACAATCCCTTCTATACCAGTTTTTAAGCATTCATATTGCGTCTAATCCGATTTAAATTATACAATGAAACATGTTTGATTCGAATGGACCGAAACCTAGCTGCAGTTGAACATGCGGTTGTTACAAAAGGAAATATATGTATACAAAACACGGTTATTATCTCATTTACATAAATTTGAAACATGATACAGAAAAGTGTTTTCAATTAAGTTTTACTTCTTCCTTGTATTTCTTAGGAAAACTGAATAAATATACAAGGATAAATCCCGAAAATGTCCTCACGCACCCAAAAAGCAACACATTGTTTAGAGAGTTGATTACACATGATCACATTACACAAAACATATACGGAAACGTTAGATATCATCCGTCCTCATGTGATGACGTTAGACTGTAAAATAATATTTTGGGTGTGGTGTGCTCAACAGACTAAAATCGAATGGAGACACATCGACTAATTATATCCTTCAATCAAAAGACAGGATGACGAGGTTGGATCCAACATCCGTGTTCTGTGATGCACAGCAGACGGAAAGGTTAATATGACCATGACAACTTTGCACTGGGTTGATCGGTCTTAATCAAGAGTGTTGACTGGTTTCGACACATTAGAACGGTCATTTGTCAACACTCTTGATTATTGACCAACAACCCAGTACGACATTACTATGGTCATCTTTACTCTTTGATAATTCAATAAAAAGATGAAAGGAAAGTTGGCTAAATGATAATAACACGGACTGAGATATAGATATATAATGCTAGTCCGTGGTTAGAGACACTGGGAGACATGCATCACACTCGGGGCAACTCGCGAGGAAATGATTAAAGCTTTAAGACCAACAACACAGTATACGTTTGTGTTATAAGATTAATGTGGTACAGGAACCTGAGAATTTGTTAAATTCGAGCTGAATATAGACCTACCTGTAGTTAAGTCTGTTTATAAGGTTGTTTGGAAGTATTTGTGTGTGTTGGGTGGCCGACAATATTCGGTAAATCATAACCCCGTATGTGGTGTATAATGAGCCCTAATATTAATCTAACCCCCGCAAATCCTCTAAAACCCTTATAAACAAATGTAGGTCCATATTCGCCCGAGACTGTAACAAATTCTCAGGACCCTTTGGACTGTGGTTAACACCATGCTGTGAAGTAGAACATTCACTGTGGCAAACTCAATATAAAGTGTATTTTCGAGCTACCATCTATATACATGTTTACACAAATCGTTGTCTATCGATTTTGAAATCCAGTCCAACTTCTTATTATCCATGCAATCATTCCAAGTAATTTATTCTGTACCTAGAGGAACGAATGTGAATGTTTGTTCTATATTCAAACCTAAGAGTAAGGTAATTCCAGACAATTTTTATCTGCCTCTGTTCTTTCAGGTGATCCCAATCTGGACATGCTTCAGAATGAGAAATCAAAAAGTCTCTGTGTAGTGCTTGATATGAAAAACATTATTATCCATGTAACATGTTATATGAAAAATTGTATTCTCTTACTTGTTGATGTATGAACAAATAAACCAGCATCATTCTATTGTTTAAGGAACATAGACACTGATCTAAGTGACTCATCATTTCATTACTACTGTATTGAATGGTACCATTACCAATCTCGAGCGACGAGATGTCATATAGAAGTTTCAGGGATCTTGACGAGGAGAAACTACACGAGGATCTCATGGCAGTGCCCTTTCACGAGGACCTCCAGGCAGTGCCCTTTCATGAGGATCTCCAGGCAGTACCATTTCACGAGGATCTCCAGGCAGTGCCATTTCACGAGGATCTCCAGACAAAGCCCTTTTACGAGGATCTCCAGACAGTGCCCTTTTACGAGGATCTCCAGACAGTGCCCTTTCACGATGCTTACGTCTTTGACTGACATTTATTTGACACAATACATAAACATGTACCTATAAACAAAACTACCAGAGAAAACACAAAGCACCATTTATGAATGGTGAACACAGAAGAGCAATTAACCAGAAGAAACATCTTTAGCGTATATACGATCGAAGCAAACATGATGATAAAAATGGCACGCTTTTAAAATTCAACGAAATTATGTTACCAAACATCGGGTTATAAACCAGTACGTTTCAGATTGTTTAGAATGGTGTAGTAGTGGTATAAAATCTTTTGATTTTTGGCCCACTGTTCGCCCTTTATTCACTAATGCTGGTGGTAGTACTGACAATAGTATTGTGTTACAAGAAGGTAACAAGACTGTAAATAAACCTGATGAAATATGTAACATTTTTAGTGATTTCTTTATTAATGTAGCCTCAGAGATAGGTAGTAAGTGTACCGTCATAGAAGACACAGAACGCCCCTGCGTACAGGTAATCAACAAGAGGTCCATGGCCTGTAACGGTCTTCCAACAATCAATGAATGGATGGACAAATCCAAAAGTCAATCCAGATAAATTCCAAGCAATCAATGTAGGAAAGAAAACGGTAAAAGAGGACCTTGTTTTAGTAAAAATTATATTTAGATCAAATGTGAAGATAATGTAAAACTTTTGGGTATAAATATTGATTCCCTTTTAAATTTTGACGGCCATATTAAACACATCTGTTCCAAAGCCTCCAGACAAACAAATGTCCTGGTACGAGTTGCTAAAGATTTAACACTAAAACGGCAAAAGGCAACTTACAAAGCTTTCATTTTATCAAATTTTAATTTCTGACCACTTATATGGCATTTGTGCTCAAAAGCAAACACCCATAAATTAGAGCGAGTAAATTTTTTGAGTACTGAAGTTTGTTTATCAAAATTTTAATTCATCATATGCAGAACTTTTAGAAAAATGTAACTAACTAGAAATCAGAGCCAGAAACTTTTAAAAACTTAACAAGGCATACAGTACACTGGTCTATACAAGTGTCTAGTATGTATCAGCTGGTATAGAGATCCTTGTTTGATCATTCTGACATCAGCACATCACAAGAATCCTGTTTCCTGATTCCCACACATTTTGCTCTTTCAAAAAACATTTTTTGTCACAATTTGTAGTTAATGCCCAGGCATGGTACCATCAGTTTGTCATCAACTTTTCCTTTTAAAGGACTTCTTCTCAATAACCAAAATGTTCAGAGTATTCATGATGGGCCTGAAGTAGCACGAGATGAATTTCTGAGATTGGTCAAAGTATTGATATCAAAAACCTTTTAAGGTCACTGGGGTCAAATATTTTAAAATCTTCCAACTACTTTCTCTTAACAACCATTAGGCTTAGGGTATTGATAATGATACAAAATATTCACATACAATAAAACACATATTAACACTTCTGTACCAAACCTTTGCTAAAGGTTTTATACTTGTCAATACCTGAATTTGTTTTAATAACTCCACCAACAAATTCACACACCATTGTGCACATGTACATGTATATATAACATATACTTGTAAATACAGTTTGTTTATTATCAAATAAAATATGAAAATTCATCTGTAAAATCCTCAAACAGTTTTATTGAAGTCATCTGCAAAATCCTTAAACAGTTTTATTGAAGTAACTCTTTATACATTTCCATTTACCAGTTCTATTATATAAATATGTTTGTTTGTTGGGTTTGTTCGACATACTGTGACCAACTAGGGACATTTTGCAGCAGAGTCTCCTTGTAGCAGCTGGTGGCTACTTCACTGAACAACATATGGGAGTCCCAATGTATGCCAACCAGAGCAATAAGGTAGGCTGGAGGACAAACCTACTTAAGCACAGAATAGTCTTTGTTCTCAGCACCCAAACATCCCATGAAACACAAACACACCCCGGATAAAGAGCATCAAACCATACATCTTGGATCTTCATCACTGGTTACATCACAGCTTCAATAATCCTAATACTGTGACAATTTTTTCATCATGTGAAGTTACCTGGTATTTAATAGATCATTGGCATGTTAAGGGCCGTATCATGTGTCTAGTCATACATAAATCCCAAAATATCCCCCTCACCGCCAAACACCAGTCATAGTAACAAAGAAAAACATGTAAATTTTCAGTGATAATAGAAAAAGAAAAGATAACTATCACACTGCCCCTGAACATTTGAAACTCATAATGGTATGACATATAATGTACTTTGAACGAAAAGAAAGAAACCTGTAGAGACATACTGTTGAATAAACAGACCAATAGATGGCCACACAGACCAACACGATATCACATTTTCATTTCAGATCTTTATGATTACCAACTTCATTGACATTTAAATTTCTTTCCATCTACTTATTTTTCAAATGAATAACAAGTTTAACTTGATTGGTAATTCAATTGGATTTTGACCAGTTTAAACAAAAAGAATATTTTATCATATTGGATAGGTGATGGAGAAACCACAAATCTCAGGATAAAATTTAACAGCATTGCTGATTCTGAATATACTGCAGAGATACCTATATACATGTAATCTATAGTAAAAACTGTATGACTTTAACATGTTAACAGGATATTATATTACTATTGTCTCCCAATAAACATCATATTTTTACATCACACCAAGGTATCGATTTGTCATCATAATAACCTGGCCTTGCGTTGTTCATTTTTTAATCGGAGACGTTCCTGAAAGTTCTTTAAACTATCTGGTACCACAATGCCATGTTGCTCATTCAATCTCCTCTCCTTTTCATGATGGTAATCTAGTCTCTTACGGATTAAATCTTTCACCATCTCCACAGAATCTTGATTTTTGGCTGACATTTGCAATATACCGTCAAACTTTATAATCTGTTTAGGATGAAATTCTGGATCCACATCACTAAGTGATTCTGGAAATACAATTTGTCAATGATACTTAACTCTCTAACACTCAATGCTATAAACAAGGCACTTGTATTTTCAAAAACTAACTTAAAAAACAACCTATTAACAGTTTGTGCAATAATTTCTAGCGATTACCAAAAACAACATGTTGTTGCCTGAAAACCTACATTAAAGGCAACTTCTATATAAAAGACACCTGTCTATAGGGGCCATTTTGTTGGATTCCTGCTGTAATACTAAAATTTATTGTAATTAAAGCTTTAAAATAGATCCACCTGTCTAAAGGCCACTTTGTTTGGTTCCATAAGTTACACCATACATCATAATTGAACCTCTATATGAAGACAACCTGACTATAAAGGTCACCTTTCTCTGCTCCTTTTCCTGACCTTTATAGACAGGTTTGACTATTCTTTACCTTACCAAATTTCTAGTGAACTTTCACCTCATTAATCATATTTCGCTAGATACATTTAAGAGATTAGACACAGTTTTATGCACATGTGTACCCATATTTTATACATATATTATAGTGTTCTTTGCCTACAAAGTATTACACTATAAATATGATTGTAATATTTGTATGTCATTAGTATAGCAATCATTGTAGATACACTAATTCATTGTTTCACTAATTGGACCTTAAGTGATAGTTTGCCATTATGCAGCTGTATCATAACTTGTATGTCAGGTTTCAATTCGTTCAAGTAACGGCACAGTTCAGAATGTATAGTACATAGGTGCTTCACATTCTTCTAAAATCATCAGACACATGTATTTGAAATTATGAAATTTCCTGAATGACTAGGGAAGTGCACCTCCCATCTAGATTTTCTATATTCTTTTGTCCTTTTGATCACTTTGAGATTTCCTCAGTTGCCTCCTTAGCTTAAAAATATATTTATTTTTTTGTTTGCTTAAAAATCTAGGCCCTTGGCACCACTTATGAATGCTAGAAGGATGAAACAGCTTAATAATGCAATCTAATTCATTTTTTTGCTCTATGCTATCTGATAATGTATTTGTATTAAAAGATTATATTCACTTGTGTGTGTTTTGAACAATCTTTTTAAAAATGCATTTTTCCAATTTGGCAAAAGGAAGTGAGAAAGCAGTTTTTTATCATTATTAAACAGACAGTAAATGTGCCAAACTTCTACTTAAAGAAATGATATAATTACCTGGTAGATGTTTCACTTGGGATATTATGGTTCTTGTCTTCTCTTTAGCTTGGTCCAGATCTATTTTATTCAGGGCTAAAATTGCTGGCTTCTCTAAGACGTCTCTGTTATATAACTCAAGCTCCTGTGAGATGAGTCAAAGTAGCAATCATCACCAGTCTTAATACATACGTATCCATGGTAACACAATGGTTAAAGAATATTGCATTAATATCTATTTATTTGATTTTACATCTTTAATACCTGCAGAATATATTTTATAAAAAAACTATGAAATTTTATCTCCATGAATGTGTATGATCCTGCCTACCTGGTACAGTATAATCTTTTGTATCTGTGTGATGTAGATTGTCATACCTCCACCAGAGAGTAAGATATTTAATGAAGCTATTTCCCTTGTGGCTTGAGATGTTTTTGTTTACATAACACAGAAGTGATTGATTGTTGTTCCTCCACATACTTGATTTACCAAGATGATGCGCTAAACTGAATACATTGCACTACAATAGATTACCATCTTGAAATGTGTAACAAAATTGATGACATCTCAATGAGATGTACTATGCGAAATACTGACTTGACATAATCGTTATGGAGTGATGACATGTCAACAGTCTTTTCCCTAACAAAAAAACAGATTGATCTTTCCCCAACAGAGAAGTTTTTACTTGCTTAAATTGCATTATGTCTCAAGATACATTTGTAATTGGAAAATAGGACAATATAAATAACTCTTTTGACCATATATGGTTTTTGTCACTCTGCAGACACGTTAAAAAAGAAAAAAAAATTAAATGCAGAATTTGTAAAAGCAATGAAACCACATCTAACATTTGTGAGAAGCCTTTATCTAATATAGTATTCTGATTGTTCTTTACCTTATTCAGCAGTAGTATGGTTTCAAAAGCTGTTCTGTAAGCATATCTTGTGTGTAGCTGAAATCCGTCGATATCGACAATAAATAGGAGTAGTTTGGTCCTCTCTATGTGCTTTAGAAATTTGTGACCCATGCCTTTATTTACATGTGCTCCCTCGATCAGTCCGGGCAAGTCAGCTACAGTTATCTGAGGAGAAACAGTTGTAAATTTTAACTTAACTTGTATATATTGAGCTTCTGAGTCTGTCTAATAAAATTTATAATTCAATCGTTTTTTCTAACGGCAATCAAATTTTCTTTATCTTTAACACAAATCATGTAAATCATTTTAAATTTCAAAAACACATGATAATGGAGAAAGATATTCTGCATAGCAAATTTTTACATATTTTCAGTACAGTATAAGTAAACTATACTTATTCTGCAATAGGCCTACCATGACCAACAAACACGCTCTGAGGTCAGTAGGATAATTTCAGATCAATGAAGCCATGAAATACATTTTAACATCTGATTTTACTTCTGATGAAAAGTAATACACATGGGTGGGCTTATTACCTGACATAGGTTTATCACAAAATAGAGACAGTAATTTTTCAGCAGTTTCTAATACTGGTCATCAATTGGTATTACATGTATCACTTTATAGTAATGCCAATGATTTTATTATTATTTAGGAAAAAAAGATTTTCTAATAAAATTTTGAAGAAAGATGTTTTTCTAGAAATAAAATTACCTGGTAATTTCCTTACCTGTCTCATATCTGGGTATTGCATAGTTCCAATATATGGCTGTATTGTTGTAACTGAAATTTTTACATTAAATGAGTTTTAAGTGAAAGTAGGATGTAAGCAAGTATTTTATGGGAAAATGGGATAATCATTAAGAATATCTTACAATTAAACTATGTAACTTTTTTGTTAACTTCACCCCTTGAGCAAAATTACAGAATACTTCAAAGTCTAAACCACTGGTATTTTTATTTCAAACTGTTAATGTTGTGAATTTCTTCCACAGAAATCTCTTCAAAATAGTACTTAAGATTTTGAAGTGTTTTAAAACTTCCTGAGCATCTAGGTTTGAAGAAGTTAGACATCCTACAGTTGTTCAGAAGAATAAAGTTGAACACAATATTGACAGCAAAATTACAGAATACTTCAAAGTCTAGATCACTGGTATTTTTATTTCAAACTGTTAATGTTGTGAATTTCTTCCAAAGAAATCTCTTCAAAATAGTACTTAGATTTTGAAGTGTTTTAAAACTTCCTGAGCATCTAGGTTTGAATAAGTTAGACATCCTACAGTTGTTCAGAAGAATAAAGTTGAACACAATATTGACACAACATACTGTAAAATATCTTGAAATGTTATGCATGAGCTCATAAACAATGCCTTATAACAAAATTAATTTCAAACAATTGATTTTAATCATTAAATGAATTCAATTTTCAGCCATATCATCAATTAAATCATGCACAGCAGAACTCCCTTGTAAACCTGTACTAAGAGGCATGGCTAATTGTTTACTGTATGTGAAGAAAGATCCTACAGGAGGTTTTCCCGTGCTATCAAATCTTTTCATATTTGCCTAATGTTAAATTCGTGCTAAAATACAATTTTTGTAGCTGATATACTGTATCAAACACAAAAATATATTTAACACCTAATAAATATTTATATTATTTGTAACATTGTAGGAAATGTATTTTAGATTTTGTGCATAAAAACATGTGTTTCAGTTTTAACATGAAACTCTATCCCATTTTTTATTTTGCTCTATCAACAAATGGGTGAAATGGTTGAAAGAAAAGCAGTTGCCAAAGTTTACCTATACACAAGATATAATCACACTTACAAGGATATGCAGCAATTTTTGGAGATGTTCGCGACAAAGCAGCTAGAGTTGTTGATTTACCGGCATTTGGAAATCTGAATGTTGGTCAAGACAATCAGAAACAGGTACATTATAGCAACAACCAAAATAAAAAATCTTGTATTTTCCTGGATTGGTTGTTCAAGGCCATATCAATAGAAAATGTGACTGTGACATTAAAAGATTAAAAACAAAACTATACAAGACAGAGGGGAGACAACTCTTAACATTTGATGAATTAAATAAAATGAAAGGCAACATAGAAGCATTTTTTTTTTGTTGCCAAAATCCTTTTAAATACAAATGTATATGATTTACATGTAATAATAATTTAAACATATATAGAATTTAACTGATACATGTCTAACCACATTTTTAATATGATGTGTTCAGAATGAAAGACTTACCCCACCAGAGCAACATCTGCAATTAGTTTTAGGTCGAGAACAATTGTACGTGCCTCTCCTTTCTGACCGAGGAAGCTGTTTTCAATAGTCCCTCCCTTGCCACCTTTTGCCACTACCACTTCTTCACCATCCTCGTCAAGATCAGCTATTTTTAACAAAAGAAGAAAAAAATAAATTTACATACACAAATGAAATCTTGTGTTAATGTCACTACAACATCAGTTATACAGTTGATTTGGTTAAGACATTATCATACAGTCGGAAAAGAAGACTTTTCAAGAGTCAACATACAATTTTCCCTATATACCGGGGGTAAGCATTTTCCTTTAGGAACAGAATCTGAAGAGACTGATTAACAGACAAGATAATCACTAAATATAAATACCCATTTCCTTGCCATGCTCGTCTTTAACTGACACTCCAACAGGCACCTCTATACAAACATCCTCACCAGGGTTCCCCAGGATCCAATGTCTCCTGCATTACATGCAAACAAATAACACTAGACAAAACCCCAAAGAACAGTATAGGAAAAGACAGTTGATGAGAAAATTTGAACAAAAACAAAAAACAAAACCAAAAAAAAATACAAAAAAAACCCCCAAAAAAACACAGTCAGCAGCATGGAGTAAGGCTTCAGTTTATCAAAACATTACAAATTTATTGCATTTTCCTTCATGGTTAAAAATGCATTGAAAATATAATGTATACCTGCTATCTTGCCCTACAGCAGCAGCATAACGCTTCTTTGGATTTTTTTCTATGACAGTTTTCAGGTTGTTGATATCTTTGTTTGCTTTGATGTAAACACATCCTCCTTCTCCTCCAGAACCACCAAACTTCTGGAAGCCCTGTCCCCCTGCTCCTCCCCTCACATGAACACGTAATGAATCAATAAATGTGTACTTTCGTGGTTTCTACAAAAGAATGATATTTAATTCATTAATTGGTATATATATACCCTGTATATGAAAAAAAATCACATGTATTTGACAATTAGGGCCATTATGGTTTGACCATTTTCTGAACATCAAATTTTGTACATATCTATCAATTGGTTCCTAAATATACACAAGTATAACAGATATTTTCAAAGATTTATATTCATTATTGAAATAGCTGCTGGATTATGTTTTCAACACAACATTTTATACTTAGAATAAAGAAAGTTTAACATTCATACACACAGGTATTTTTCTTACTTTAGCCCAAAGTTTCTTTGGTGGGACAGGACCAGAAATCTATCAGTCATCAGAGCTGATATAATAGTGATAACGTAATTCTGTTTTTATTGTGTCTTGAAGAATTTTGTCATTCAAAAAACTTTGGAGGCAAAAAAGGGCCATTAGTTCTGGTATTACTTGACTCTGTGAAGAAAAGAAGGATTATGACAGCAAATATATGGGCAGTATATTTAGACTGAGTCTCATATATCAGATATCAGTAATTCTGATCAACAGATGTCAAAATATCTTACATCTGGTGAAGGTATTAAAGGAAACTTGAATTAGATGTATGAGTTTCTAGGATTATTCAAAGGTAAAATGCAAACATTACTACATGAACAGTGGTCCTCAATGATAATGCAATTCATATAACATCTTATGGTATGACAAATTGATGAATTGGCAATGTGAAACACTCACAGACAATATATCATACATTTAAGTAAAGCTAGTAAAGCCAAATGCAAAATGCAAGCAACATAAAAGATGCTGCGATGTGTATCACCATGGAACATAAATAAATTCTCAATGTGAAAGTCTGTAGTAGACATGTTAGTTTGATACCTGATCCCAATTAATAGGAACATACTGCATCAAGCATCCAGCCTCTCACATGATGTTCGGTACTTATGTAGCCAGTACACATGCTTCTTTTGGATGAGTCTGTTGCCCATTTGTTGGGGGCTAGGCTATGCATGTTTATTTGGCACAATGACAAGTGGTCATATTTATTTAGACTTTAAGTTAAAAATTTGGCCTTAATCTCAAATAGTACACATTACACTTAAGGTAAAATCATTTTAAGCTAACGGATTTGGAATTTCATTGTAAAATCTAGACCATCTTGAATTTACCAGACACCTGTGAGGAAATTCCAAATCTGATAAACTAAGAACACTACATTTTGTGTAAGTAAGTAAGTGGGAACCATACCAAACAAACCTAGTCTGCCAACTTGGAAAAACACAATGCAGAGCAGCACATAACACAACAAACAGATATCAAATCACTAGTTCAGTACATGACATAATGAAAAACCTCAACTTTCCCACTCTACATGCACGGATATTAAGACAAGAAACATATTATTTTACAAGATCAGACCCCATCACCACACTAGAAGTCATAGATTCATAACATATAACGTTTGAAGACTTCGAACCAAACATATAGACAATCCTTTTTATCCTTTATCTCAAAATAACAAAAAAAAAAAAAATAAATAACATTGTAAATACACACGCCTCTGCACAGCCACCACCCAAACAAATTTAATCGTCAGTGAAGTAAACACTGAACAGTGATTTGCATGTACATACATGGTCAAGTATTTCATCATAACATAAGTTTGACTTACAGTGGTTTTAGGCGCTGCTTTTGTTGAAAAACTTCGTAATGTCAAAATTAAAAAGTTCTTCGTCAGAGTCATCATTTTGTTAGTATTGATTGTTTGTGATCATCCAACGATCACATTTTGCTTATGGGCGCAGACATATTGAATTCACATTGTCACCTTCAAAACAGAAGAGCTAATATAAAATCACGTGACAGACCAGACAAAATGGCGAGCACAGTGGATGGGGCGACGGTTTTAGCGAGGGCCTTGAAAGCCCAGGTAAATGTTATTTACGTTTTAACACTTATATCAGGTGTGTTGAAATTCATAAAATTCTGAACAACACGCTGTTTAACAAGTTTAACAAAATGTTGATTGAGCACGACAGCTTATTTTATAATGTTAATGTAGACATTTTGATATATAGATCGGCCTGCATTTTGACACCAACTTTTATCGTAGTTGTTACTAGTTTTTGACTCGCTCTTGATATTTTGATAATTCTGTACATGTATAATGCTGATAATGATATCGAATACTGTTTCAGTAGTAAAAAAATTGAGAACCACCTTTAGTTCCTATATTATTTAGCTTTTTATTATATGGTTGAAATTTAAGGATAAGATTGTGCACCATGATAAAATATGAATTGTTATATCAAGTATACCAATTCAAATGAAACACACATGTTTGTGTATCGAAAAAAATAAAAGTAAGAAAAAAAAAAATTTCATGATGTTCAATCAGTAATTTTAAGTTATTGATTTTCAGGGTGTTGAGTACATGTTTGGAATTGTTGGAATTCCTGTCATTGAGGTTGCTGCTGCAGCACAAAGAGAAGGCATCAAATACATAGGGATGAGGAATGAACAAGCGGTATTTCTTTTAAACACAGTTTCATATGAATTTTCATTATATAAATGACATTTTTAAGTAAAATTCTGATAAGTATTCATTTTGTTTGCAAAAATATATCTTACAGGTTCTGGTATTCAGATTATAATAAAAACAAATAAAGCATTTTCTTTGAAATCTTAAAAAACCTTTAAAGAAAAAAAAGATGAAGTATATCTATCTTAGGTACTATTATGACAACATTGAAACCTTTTTGAAATCCGTCAATAATTCATGCACCCTTAAATTTTATTTGAAAAATACTTTCTGTTGAAATTCCATTTACATAGTAATCAGTCTTTATTACTAGGAATTAAATAGAAAAGCAATATTTTTATTTTTCTACAGTATATATGTTTAGTCAAATTACCAAAGTTCTTTCTTTTTTTTCTTTCTCATATTTCAATTTTTTTCTGCAGGCGTCATATGGTGCTTCTATTATTGGCTATATGACTGGAAAGTAAGTTTTTTTTTTCATGTTTTTCATTCTGCAAACTTTTAATGAAGCTGCTGATCTGGTGTCACCTACAACTGAAATAAAAAACGAAGATTAATCTGCTGTTTAATCATAAGGACTGTTCCTGTAAAACAACAACTTCATATAAAGGATTCCAAAATGTTTAGTCATTTCTATATATGGTTCAGTTTCCTACGTATCACTTCTAAGAAGATGATCAAAGTCTGTAGAAGGCACTCCTGAACAAAACCTTTTAGTGCTAGGGTGGGAAAGATCTGCAATAGCTCTGTAAATTTGATCAAAACACTTTAAATATGAAAAATAATAATATAATAAAATAAAATATCAGAGACACTGTATTGAAAATGAAGAAAATAAAAATTTTGATGTTTATGATTTTTTAAAAATCAAATACTTCGTGATCAAAGTTAATGCAGCTATTTTTTTTCTTGAATACCACTGTTAAAATGCCACTTAGGACATAGACCATAGGCTATAATAGTGTATATTTTGCATGCTATTATGAAACCATTTATCAAAGTATGATATAAATTGTAAATTATATATGGTATATATATAGCTTTAGGACAGTACATGTGCATGTGTTTGTCTGATTGAAGGCCTGCAGTGTGTTTGGTAGTATCTGGTCCTGGTTTGGTGCATGCTTTGGCTGGACTTTCAAATGCCAAGGAAAACTGCTGGTGCGTATTACAGTACATTTTCTTTCAGGCTAACTTGGTAAGCACATTGTAGTCTGTTTAAATTTCCAAAGAACAATGTGCAGTTATCATTATTCATTATTCTAAATTAGGTGACCTCTTTTTAGGAATGCTATATTTGTGGATTTTTTTTTTAATATTTATTTAAAGGTAGTTTTTTAATTTAGTTTAATTTTTTTCAGTTTTTCCAAATTATTGAAGCACAATGGATGTATTTTTTCGCTGTGCTCATGAAGCAGATTTTCTTTACACATTTATTTTCTAAGCTAATAACCTCTATTGTATTGGATAAAAAATACCATCTTGGTGGTTATTTCACTGAGCAAAATATTTGTGATTTTATTTTATAGATATTCATGAATAGAAAATTGTCAAGCTTAGGTAAATATACATACTGTAAAATAGCAAAAATATCATTCTTGCAATACTAACCAGATATACATTTCTACTCATTTTGACAAAGTCACATAAGTATTTGTCATTTTAAGGCCTGTCATTGTGATTGGTGGATCTAGTGAACAAGACCAGGAAGCCATGGGAGCATTCCAAGAACTACCTCAGGTAAATACCAAAGTGACCACAACTTTTGTATCCATTTCTATACAGTATATAATTTAAGACATTATTTACATAGGAATTATAAAATAAGAATTTGACAGAACACATACTCTTGAATTCTTCTGTGAAATTAATTACTGTGGATGAATTGAAAGATTTATATCAATCAATTGCTCTTTGAAATTGATTTATAGATAACTGTGGTGAAACTCATTTATGTATGAAGTAGTCATGATGGAATAGATTATAATAGTAGTACTTAATAAGGGGTCTCTGTCCTGACCTTACTGAAACAATTGCCCTCACACCCCGACAGGGCTTGCTGTGGCTATTCTTCAACAGTAAAGTTAAAATTGTGACTAATGTAAAGCATTCTCGATACTGTAGGGGTTTGTGATAACTTTCTTTCACTCTCTACGTCCTTGGAACATGTCATGGCTAAATTGAAGGCACAAGTTAAGTATTCTGATTGGTTCCTGATTGGTTCCAAAAGAAAAAAACTGACCAATCTCTCACAGATCTCTCGTTTTGAAGATTACAAAGGCGTGACGCACAACTTCAAAGCCATTATAATATGCCGTTTTGCCACCTTGAGATTTGTTTGATGTACATCAAAGAATCAAACTACTCTTTTAATCTTGTCTGCAAGGTGTCACACATGGAACCTTCAGTTTTGCAATGAAGTGTTCAAGGGGTGCAGAGATCGAAAGTGATTGTAACCCCTGGATTATTGAGGATGACTGTAAAGGATTTTATTTCAATGGTTTGAATTTTTGTGATTTTTCCAAAAGCTTGATATACTATTCAAGGAAGTCATGGAATTATTATTTTTTTGTAACAACTTTTAAAGTAAATCTTTCTTGAATTATCAAATTTTGAATCTCAAAGCAACTTTAAATCATCAGATTTGTGTTGATAACTTGAAAAATTCTGTATATTATTTCCTGTAACTTTTTGTCATCGAATTCAAAAATTATATTTGTGTAATAGGTGGAAGCAGCCAGACCTTATTGTAAATTTTCTGCCAGACCCAACAGTATAGAAAGAATTCCCTTCTTTGTGGAAAAGGTAAATATTGATTTTTTATATAAATATCTTAAAAACTTGGAGATTAGCTTACACAAGATCTATTTGATGTTTTATTTTCAGTTCTGAATTAAACTAAATGATTTCCATATGAGCCATTGAAGATGAATTCAAATTATGTTGAAATTATTCTGAACATTCCTGTCATTATGTTACGTTATGTTGATGATTTTTCCATACATTATCATATTGTCAAAATACAATATTTATACACATACCTTCAGTACTTTCAGTCTTATCCATAGAAGTATACTGTTGTCACATGTCATTGTATGTTACAGGCTATTTTATATGACTTCTTACAGGCAGTATTATATGGCTTGTTACAGGCTATTTCATATGACTTCTTACAGGCTGTATTAGATTGCTTGTTACAGGCTGTAACATAAGATTGCATTTCTTTATATGATATTCAAAGAGCCAGATTATTTAACCAGGTACAATATCCTCACATTTAACATGACATTTTGTTAGATCATATTACTTCAGTTCTAGTATCATGGGAAAAGTTTTATATGGTCAAGGACCCAAACTTTTCATATTTTTTGTCTTCAGTTTATTAAAATTCAATTTATTTGTTTATCTATTTTAATTAGATTGTCTTTTTGTGGAATTAAATAAAATTTGTAAGAAAAACAGAAAATAATTCATTAAACAAATTTATGGGATCATCTGTTGCAGGCATATCGTCAGAGTATTTATGGCAGACCTGGGGCATGTTATCTCGACATTGCTGGAAATATGGTGAATGCTACAGTGAATGAAAAGGATGTGTGGTAAATATTTTGTTTGAAAACTTGTTTTTTAAACTAGATAATCTAATTAATTTGGTAAATATTGTTGTACTGATATAAGAAAATAAATAACTCAAAACTCCAGATCCGACTTCCTTTCAGGATATTTTTCATTTGATGAGTAACAGATCTTTGTTGAAAACCTACAGATTTTTATTTCAGTATTTTAATATTTTACATGGCCTCCAGTTTACCAGTGTTAATCAGGATTGTATTCACAGGAGTATGGATGCGTTCTAGGTCACAATCATTGGTATGATGTCATCTTAAAGCCATGTTGACCTACATAAGTTACATCAATGCTTTACATGTTGCCGCAGATAACACACGTTATAGCCTTACGTTATAGCCTTACGTAAATCATTCAGATGATTATGATGTTCAGGAAGCTTTTCCAGAAATATACATACAGAAAAAAAAATATGATTTTATTAAATAGACAGAATGATGATTATATGAAATATAAATTGTATAAAAATTGAATGGTACTTCCGCTATTCAATGTTGGATAAGTTTGTTTTAAAAAGTTAGGGTTAGTTTTTTTGAAAATGCTGCAGTTCTTAGTCGATTTCTGTCATCTAGATATTTGTTTCAGGTCCTCCATCGTTTGCTCTCCTCCTCCGAAGAGTTTGGCTGACCCAGAAAGTGTAAAGCTTGCCACCGACCTACTCTACTATGCTGAAAAACCTTTAGTGGTAGTGGGTAAAGGTAAGTTATTTTGAATAGCCATGCACTAGGTATGGATATATCAGATGATTTGATTTCCAATACCACTTGATGAATTTTGGTGAGCTTGTATGACACCTACTAACCTTGTGACCTTTGATGGTCTCCCCCTAACAACTGATGACCTTTGGTGATCTGCCATAGGACTTGATGAAGTTTGGTGAGTTCCCTTAACCTTTCGTGATTTATGATCACTCCAAAAACATCTTGTGACCTTTGGTGGCATCCCATAACACTTGATTACCTTTAGTGAACTGTAATACCATAACTCCCATAACACCTGATGACCATTGGTTACATGCCATAACACTTATTGAAATTTGGTGACCTTCAGTAACACCCAATGATGATCTCTCGTAACACTTGATGACCTTTGATGACCTTCTATAAGACCCAGTGACTAAAGTGACCTCCCATGACACCTGATGACCTTTGATGGACTTCCATAATACTTTATTTTATGACTTCTCCTTACTCATGCTTGCATTTTATGACACCTGATGACCTTTGATGCCCTTGACTGACCTCAAATTGGCTAATAATGACCTATTCTACCCCATCATGACCTTTCTATTTCTATCATACAGGTGCAGCCTATGCTCATGCTGAGGAGGCTGTAAAGGAGCTAGTGATAGGTGCACGACTGCCATTCCTTCCTACACCAATGGGTAAAGGTGTCATACCAGATGACCATGAACTCTGTGTTGCACCTGCGAGGTCAAGGTCAGTATAATAACTGGTAGAAATTTGTTGCATTGCACGAAATAAGCCAAAACAATGAACTTAACCTTTATGTTATATTTTTGAATCACTGCTTTTTCAGCCATTTTGTCCATTTTGCAAAAGTCACTTGCCTTGTTTACTTATGAGTGCCACCTCGTCAACATAAACTGCCCAAATGACACCAGTCTTCTGGCACAAAGCATTAAGTAGTCAGGCAATAGTAAAGATTAACTCCCTCAAAATAAGGCTCACAATTTATCAATCAGTCCTTATATGCTGCTATTATCACTGCTTCTAATATTACTGCTGTTAGATTAATGATGGGCTACAATTTCTTTATTTTCCAGGGCTTTGCAAGATGCAGATGTTATACTTTTACTGGGTGCCCGTCTAAATTGGATGTTACATTTTGGGATGCCACCAAGATTTCATCCGAAAGTGAAAATTATCCAAGTTGACGTTTGTCATGAGGAAATGAGCAACAACATTAAGGCTGCTGCTACGTTGGTGGGCAGTCTGGATGCAGTAGTCACTCAGGTATTGTAATTTATTTTACTTTTCGATGGTAGTCGTACAATGCTAGGTAAAACTTTAATGAGAGATTATAGGGAAAACCTGGTGGCTGGAAAGGTTATGCCACAGCGAGCAAGTATTAAACACGGACAGGGGTCACTGACTCTCGTACATCTATGAACAAGTGTTTTCATCCGGCATACTTTGTATTCCTACATCAATGTATATACCTTACTGTACGATTTTTGACCTTAGTATACATAGGATTATAATCAAGTCAATTCTTTAAGATCTCACACACTACCTTTGTGAGTGTTAGTACACTTCACACAGTCTTTGGTGTGATGAAGATGACTGTGTAGTCATCAAAATGTCACACTTAGATCTTCTACCGGTTGTGTTATAAAAGATTTTATTCTACTGACATTACAAATCTGAATAAAATAGTCTGACATTTTTTTATTCCATATTTTACAATGTACCATGATATGTTTAGATAAATGAAGAAATTGGGAGACGACCCGGTAAATTTGCCTTCAGCAAAGCTGCACCCTGGTGGAAAACCTTGCATGGCAAAATCCAACAAAACCAACAGAGTGTACAGGTAAGAGAGGACAATGGTTTTGTTTTTAAAGATAAAGGAAAAAAAAATTGAAAAATATCTACATATTTCTCTGCAGTCAAATTGTAACATTTACTGTATACTGGAAAATTTTGCCTCCATTGAATTTTTGCCCTTTTTGCTGTAAGAACAGGGAGGGCAATTTCAAGACGGCAAAAATTGATCCACGTATTTAATGGTAATGTCCGCAGAGGATGAAATGACATGAAGCAGATTCATGTATAATGGCATCACTATATCAAACTCATGTTTGAACAGCGGTTGGTTTTTTCAATACAGTGTTCTAAAATACAAATTTATTTGAAATGTTCAAATAAAACAATAGTCTTATATAGCAGATACCTTCATATTAATTGCCTAATTATCCGTTGAACTGTCATACATCTGTATAAACATCAGGAGCGGCTAGAATCATTAGCTGAAGTAGGATGCAGTCAAGTGTGATACAGGTAAATTTTGGCAAGCATGACACTCGCTCATCAAATAGAGGGGGGAATACATTGAACATATGATGGACAGGGACAAAAATGAGTTCAAGGAATCGGGAGTATTTGTGGAATAATGGCTTAAGGAATTCGAGATGTGATAAGAAGGGATATAAAAGATAATGGTGGGGACCAAGCAATCAGTTTAATAAATAGGAGGTAATTAAGTTAAGTAAGTTTGAGGAAGTTGGGTTATACTGTAAAGGTGATTAGTTTGATTATGAGTTGGTGCACCCAAGTACAATGTATTTGCTGTAGAAGACAGAATGTGGTTTCAATCAGTCATGCTCGTGTGTAAAAAAAGACAGTAAAATACATTAAGTTTTGATTTAATAAAATTATTTTTAAAGAATGTAATAGATCTAAAATTGTATGTCAAGACAAATGCTGTCTTGGTATAGTTGTAAGTTTTTAAATTCAGGATACTTGTCATCACTATGTTGTAAAAAAAACAGCATTACAGCAAACAAGCTGTATCTAAATATTAACTGTTTACAAACCAATGACAGATATCAAAACAACATCAAGTATATTTTAACACTTGTTTTATTATTTCTTTTTTAGAAAATGATGTCTGACAAATCAGTTCCACTTAATTTCTATGCAGCATATGAGGATGTAAGTATATATATATAAGTCAGACAAGCATTTAAGAAATGCTAACCAGCTTTCTTTATGACTACTGTCTTTTGAGATCTCCATATGTAATTACAAGTTCACAGCAGTTAACTTTTATGAAACAGACTATATTATGTTAAACTATTATCATTGTTGATTATCTTGTCTTCAATTATTTCCCAGCTGTCAACTTAAATGAAACAGACTATAGATCATGTTCTACAATGACCATTGTTAATTATGCTGCCATTTGTTATTTTCTGGCTTTTAAAATTTTAGAAATTGTCATAAATCTGAAATTTGCAATAGTAAATGTAAATGACATACAATAGAAGGTTTGTGTACAAAATATTGTTACTGTACGTGGTTCAATAAATTGTTATACTTTGTTGGTTATTGATAGTTTATCTAATCTGGAGTATAAAATCCAGCTTAACTGGAGTCTAAAAGACTTCTAGTATCAACATCCTGACCTGTGCAGTGGACAGGGAAAGAATGTATTTGTTACATCTTACTGCCTGTAGTAAGAAGTGACTAATTGTGTGGCACCCCTAGCAGATCAGGATTGTTTCTCTGTGAAGCCTTCTGTTTAGGGGACATGGAGATCCCTGCAAGTTCAGGGTCTGCTGCAATCTACCGCATGCTTGTAGGAGGCGGCTAATTGTGGGGCACCCCTAACAGATCAGGATTGTTTCTCTGTGAAGCCCCCTGTTTAGGGGGCATGGAGATCCCTGCAAGTTCAGGGTCTACTGCAATCTACTGCATGTTTGTAGGAGGCGACTAATTGTGGGGCACCCCTAACAGATCAGGATTGTTTCTCTGTGAAGCCCCCTGTTTAGGGGGCATGGAGATCCCTGCAAGTTCAGGGTCTACTGCAATCTACTGCATGTTTGTAGGAGGCGACTAATTGTGAACCTACAGTATTCTTTCCTTCTTCTACAGAAGAAAAATTGAAAAGACCAAAATAGATCTGCTGTAGCCGTCGTCACTTGTAGAATTCATTGTTAATTATTACAACAGTACTGTTCATTATACCACCAACAATGTGAGCTCTGATCAGTAAATAGAAAGTCATGTACCGATGATGTTATTAATTACTGTTGTACCTGCCTGTTCTTTGGTTGGTCAATCTAATGTATTTAAGTGAAATTTCAGGGCTAACTCATTGACACTGACTCAGAGTCAGGCAAACTCATTGACACTGACTCAGAATCAGAGGTCAACACATTAATTTTACTCAGAGTAGGTGGCCAGCACATTGACTCTGACTCAAAATGATGGAGCCAACACATTGACTATAACACAATGTAGGAGTATCACATTGACTCTGACACAAATTACGAGTTGAAGTTTTAATAGGACAATGTATTTCATGTTAAGTTCACTGAACAGCAGTAAATATGTGGATGGGTTAATTACCAGATATTGACTTAATAAAGAATAATAAATCACTTAGTTGTATGCCTGGTATTTTATCTGTCTTTTGTAGATCCAGAAACTTCTACCAAAGGATTGTATCATCGTCAGTGAGGGTTCTTCAACAATGGACATCAGTAGGACCATGATCCCAAACTTCCTTCCAAGACACAGGTACATTGTCTGTCTGGTTTTTTTTTTATGTTCTTGCAAATTGGCCTGTTATTTGGATTATTTTCTAACATTTTTCTGTTGGTCTGGACTTATCTACAAGCATTCTTTTGTTGATTCCAAGAACTTATCAAAAAAAAATTAGTAAACACCTTAATAATATTTCTTTATCTTATCAGAGATTTGATTAAAGACAAATAAATTCATGTGTTGTGACATTTTTTGGTGACCATAAAACCTGAATATGTATCTAATGCAGATTGGACGCAGGGACCTACGGTACAATGGGGGTGGGTCTAGGATTTGCAGTAGCTGCTGCAATCTGGTGTAGAGACCATGCTCCAGAAAAACGTGTTGTCTGTATCCAAGGGGACAGTGCATTTGGCTTCTCTGGAATGGAAATTGAAACTCTCTGTCGGTAAGTACAAATTTAAGCAAACAATCATCAAGTGCGGGGCTGTTCAAATAGTGAATGGTTATTTTCTTGGACATCTAGATATAAATAAGACTTGGATTGATATTGAAGGAGGGTTAAACTGAGCGAAAACTGAGTTAAATAAGCAAAAAGTCTCAAATTATGTACTCTATCTGACAGAACTTTTTGACCTCAGTGATATGTTTACAACCATGTGACGTCATCAAGTAACTTATTTAGGCTGCCACAGTAGTGTCATTACATGTCTTATCATATTTATGACTTTGTCTGATGGCAAGACACAAAAGACAAGTTCTGTGATAATTGTGTCGTAATAAACTCATTATGTTGGATTTATTGTTTGTTTAATAAAGAAATAAAAAATTGAAAACAACCATTGTTTATAAAAATTAATGAAATTTATAAAAAACATATTTTTGTGTTTTAATTCCAGCTACAAACTTCCTGTGATTATCATTATCATGAACAATAATGGAATCGGTTTTGGTATGGACGACGACTCATGGCAGTCTATTTCCGAGTCCACAGATCTCACTCTCACGTGGGTATTATGCTCCTGATTCCTGATACACGCAGATTTTAAACTGTACTTTATCCTGCATTAGAAATACAGGGGGAGGGGTTTACATAATCCTTCAGTCCTAAGTTCAGAGGGTGGGCTTATCACAGGACAGTGAAATAGCCGTGGTGTATAATTTTACATAATAGCGCAGTACATAAAGTATATGAGAGAGCTTATTGACAGATAATACTGTGTAGTAATATTCATGGGGGATTTATAAATAAAATGGTGGTGTGAAGTTAAATACCTGTGAACTAGCTCAAACTTGGACAATAATGAAATATTAGGCCTACAAAATAATTGAACACCTGAACAGTATGATGGTTATCAACATAAAACAATATCAAATTCTTAGAATTTCAAATATGTTAATTTTGTTCAGTCTTTAGGTATTAAAATTTTATAGCTTTGGTTGGCTATTTCTTATTGATTTTAAAATATACACAAACATTTTGCTCTGTTCAGCTTATAAAAAGGATAACTTGTTGTAGCTCAAGCATGATTCAAGTTGATGTTTGTAAATCAACCTAGCTAGAAGTATATATAATTTCAGCAAAGTAGATATCTTTGTTTACATGATGAATTGAGACATACAGTTTCTATAAGAACATACCAGTAAGTAGATTCTGTTTCCTGTCAGAAACCATTCAGTCATGTCATGGTTATGTAACAGCTATGAAACCTCATAAGACTCTCCTTAATGTCATCAGGATAAAACACACATAGAGAATGTCACACATTCTGTAGATAAAACCAGATGCAAGAACTGCATAGTATATCAGAGAAACTGATAGAAATTTGGGGCTAATGAACATCAGAGGGACACATAGTCCCAAGAAAAAAAAATTGCAACAAAAGCATTCGCTGTCTGTGATTGATATATTGATATCATAGATCATTCCATATCGAAAAATCATATCATTGACTGTTGGAATCCCAAAATAGTCGACATGGAACACAACTTTTTCAGACAACTAGTTAATGATGTGATCTGGATACACCATAGCACGACAGTACTAAACTAGGACTTAGGGGGTCACAGGCTGTCACACATCTATAACCATATAGTCATCGCTTTGTCTGTCCATCTGTTCGTCTGTCCGTCATGGTATTGTATGGAGCATAACACAAGAACTCTAAGAGATATCAACATAAAACTTCACTGATATACTATGTAGTCAGCGAAATGTCACACTCAGATCTTCTACTGGTTGTGTTATGAGAACTTCTAATCTATAGACATTAACAATGTGAAGAAAATATTCTGAAATAAGAAGATAATGTTGTGAATTTCTTGTTTTTTATTAAACCTATCATAAGAGATCCTGACTTGTGCTGAATATCCGTTCAATGTCTGGTGTCAGTAGAATTATGTTTCTTTTATACACTATGCTCAATACATACGGTACCACCCATTGATTATCTCCCTTGTTTGTAGGTCTCCGCCCACATCACTTATGGCAACAGCCCATTATGAAAGGATGATTGCCGCATTTGGAGGAACTGGATACTTTGCACGTACTCCGGAGGAGATCACCAAGTGTGTTAGTGCTGCAATGAGTAAACAAGAAGTTTCTATTGTAAATGTCATGATTAACCCCATGTCCTTGAAGAAACCCCAGGTAAGGATACTGAACATTACAGAAATTAAATTTATTTATCAAAAGGAAGCTATAAAAAGGAATGTTTTTAACAGAACTGATAATGGTGTATTGAATCACCTGTTTAAAATTGTATTTGAAATAGATACAGGTTGGTTAATGGTTTAGTGAGATTAATGGATGGTTAATGGTTTTGATGGCTGAATGGGATAAATGGATGGTTAATGGTTTTGATGACTGAATGAGATGAATGGATGGTTAATGGCTTTGATGACTGAATGAGATTAATGGATGGTTAATGGTTTGGATGATCCAATGAGATTAATGGACAAGGGATGGTTAATGGTTTTGATGACTGAGTAATAGAAAAAGATGGTTAATGGTTTTGATGACTGAATGGGATTAATGGACAGTTAATGGTTTGGTTGAGTGATTAATGAATGGATTTTTTTTTAGGGAAAGTGATTAAAATATTGACTTAATTTGATTTTTAGTCTCACTTTATTTATAACTAAGTGTATTTAATGGGATGGATGGATTAAGATTGTCATAAGGACTAAATTTAATTACAAATGAGTTTAATTAAATAAGTTTAGGAAATGGATTTGTTAAGATTTTATCAATCTGATCATTAGGTATTTGACTTCTGATACTGAAGAATAATACTTTTGTTGCAGGATTTCTTCTGGCTGACAAAGTCCAAAATATAAAGAAGAGATAGGTTTTCCAGCAGTAGGTGGATCCCAATATGGTGTTATGTTCCTGTACACTGGAATATTTAGAACACAAAATAACATATTCTGTGATATATTTCATTGTGAAAAACTTTGATTTACTGTTCCTCAGAAAGGAATTGGTGCATTTGTTCCAATGGCTTTTTTATCAAGTAGATGTGACATTCAGAAAAATTCACTTTAATGTACAATTTTGTTAAAGATGCTATGAAATATGAAATTGATATGAATGAATGTATCTGATTTTGTTTTCTATTCATAATTTACTACCACACACACACACACACACATATATATATATATATATATATGTTCTAAATTGTTCTTTACAATAGAACAATGCTTTCTTTATAATGAAAACTATACCTTTGTAAATTAATGTTAAAAAGAAAAAAAATCTGTTTATGTTTATGATTTTGTATGAAATTCAATGCAAAAATTGAATTGAGGTTTGAAAAATATCAATCTATATGTAAAATCTAAATATTGAAAATGATTATGTTTGGAGACACAAACTTTATGGCTAATTTCCCCTTCATTAATGCTAAAATTCAGAATACTTAAACCAAAAACAATCACATTCAAAATGATAGACATTTATTTTTGAAAGTCTTTTACTCAGAAAGTTTTTTGAAATTTATTAATTGGTTTTGTAAACAGAATTTTTTTATACAGTTACCAGTCCAGTGAAATATATATACATCTGTTCCATAATTTGATCATGTTGAAGGATAAACACAAAAATCCTTTTAATATTGATTTATTTTTGATGGTAGTTTAAAATCATTTCCAACTGAAGTAACCACAAAGCTATTTTTTGTTGTTTTATTTGAAACTTTTATTTTTACCTCAGAGTCTAATACAGTTTTGTCAAGATTAGTACCTCCAAAAGTTTTAAAACATTCAAAAGTTATAAAAGCATCGATTTGAATATTTCATAGTTGATTATTAGAAATTTAAGATGAAAAAAGAAAAAATTAATAATGTGCTGCTGTTTTCTTATATTCATTAAACTTGTTATAAAGAGGGCATATAGAAAATATGTTCACTTTTGTTATGCTTATATGTATGTGTGTCTATGAGTGATACATGTGTGATACAGATGTGTGTAAGTTTGATGCTGTAGTACAGGTATATTTGGAATGAATGTTTAACAAAGTTAAAAAAGAATCATGATAAATTATGAAATTGTTAGATTTTGATCTCATAATTCATTGTTGTACACATTTATTCAGATAATGAAACAATGTTGATTGTTGAATAAAAAAGAACTAATTTATCAACTAAATCCCTTGTTTTAATTGATGTTCAATTTTTTTTGGCAATGAACGCATTAGCTGTTAATAAGCCCTACCTTATCGTGGCTGTTCTGTAGAATTACAAACACTGTTTCATTATACCCAGTGAAATGCATTTGCGGAAGATATTAACTTGGGCTCTGTGTGTGCATCTGTGCATCCTTCCATCCGTCCCTTTGTCTGCCCGTGCATGCGAAACCATTCCACTCAAACTCAACTCCACAAAACATTCTGTATATATTAAGTTAGTGCACTAGTTGTGCCGTTTGTTATTGACAACATTTCATATTTTATACTTTCTCTGCGACCATGGAAACATAGTCAAAAAATACAAAATTTGATTTAACTTTCCTTTCTGGGCTATATCTTCAAAACCGTTCCAATAAACTACACAAAACTTTCTGTATGCAATAGGATTAGTGCCCTAGATAATTTTTTTCTGTTACCATTGTCCTGTGATAAGCCCATCCTTAAACACAGTTCAGTAGAATTACAAACACTGTTCCTTTGTCCTGTAATAAGACCACCCCTTAACTATTCCATTGTTTCTAATAAGCCCACATTGTCCTGTAATAAGCCCACCCTTAAACTGTTCCATTGTCCTGTAATAAGCCCACCCCTAAACTGTTCCATTGTCCTATGATAAGCCCACCCCTACACTGTTCCATTGTCATGTAATAAGCCACCCCTAAACTGTTCCATTGTCCTGTAATAAGCCCACCCTTAAATAAGCCCACCCTTAAACTGTTCCATTGTCATATAATAAGCCCACCCCAAAACTGTTCCATTGTCCTGTAATGAACCAACCCCTAAACTGTTCCATTGTCATATAATAAGCCCTACCCTAAACTGTTCCATTTTCCTGTAATAAGCCCACCCCTACACTGTTCCATTGTCCTGTAATAAGCCCACCCCTAAACTGTTCCATTGTCCTGTAATAAGCCCACCCCTAAACTGTTCCATTGTCCTGTAATAAGCCCACCCTTAAACTGTTCCATTGTCCTGTAATAAGCCCACCCCTAAACTGTTCCTTTGTCCTGTAATAAGCCCACCCTTAAACTGTTCCATTGTCCTGTAATAAGCCCACCCTTAAACTGTTCCATTGTCCTGTAATAAGCCCTACCCTAAACTGTTCCATTGTCCTGTAATAAGCCCACCCTTAAACTGTTCCATTGTCCTGTAATAAGCCCACCCTTAAACGGTTCCATTGTCCTGTAATAAGCCCACCCTTAAACTGTTCCATTGTCCTGTAATAAGCCCACCCTTAAACGGTTCCTTTGTCCTGTAATAAGCCCACCCTTAAACTGTTCCATTGTCCTGTAATAAGCCCACCCCTAAACGGTTCCTTTGTCCTGTAATAAGCCCACCCCTAAACTGTTCCATTGTCCTGTAATAAGCCCACCCTTAAACTGTTCCATTGTCCTGTAATAAGCCCACCCCTAAACGGTTCCTTTGTCCTGTAATAAGCCCACCCCTAAACGGTTCCTTTGTCATGTAATAAGCCCACCCCTAAACTGTTCCTTTGTCATGTAATAGGCCCATCCCTAAACTGTACCATTGTCCTATAATAAGCCCACCCTTAAACTGTTCTATTGTCCTGTAATAGGCCCATCCCTAAACTGTTCCATTGACCTGTAATAAACCCACCCCTAAACTGTTCCATTGTCATGTAATAAGCCCACCCCTAAACTGTTCCATTGACCTGTAATAAACCCACCCCTAAACTGTTCCAATTGTCATGTAATAAGCCCTACCCTAAACTGTTCCGTTTTCCTGTATTAAACCTACCCTAAACTGTTCTATTTTCCTGTAATAAGCCCACCCCTAAACTGTTCCATTGTCATGTAATAAGCCCATCTCTAAACTGTTCCATTGACCTGTAATAAACCCACCCCTAAACTGTTCCATTGTCATGTAATAAGCCCACCCCTAAACTGTTCCATTGTCCTATAATAAGCCCACCCCTAAACTGTTCCATTGTCCTATAATAAGCCCACCCCTAAACTGTTCCATTGTCCTATAATAAGCCCACCCCTAAACTGTTCCATTGTCCTATAATAAACCCACCCCTAAACTGTTCCATTGTCATATAATAAGCCCACCCCTAAACTGTTCCATTGTCCTGTAATATGCCCACCCATAAACTGTTCCATTGTTCTGTGATAAGCCCACCCATAAACACTGTTGTTACGTAGACTTAAAAACACTATTCCATTTTCCTGTAATTAGCCCACCCCTAAACTGTTCCATTATACTGTAATACGCCCACCCCTAAACACAGTTTTTCTGCATAATGACAAGCACTGTTTCATTGTTCTGTAATAAGCCCACCCCTAAACTGTTCCGTTGTCTGTAAGAATCCCAACCCTAAACGCAATTGTAGAATTACAAAGACTGTTCCATTGTACTGTTATGCTTATTAAAGGATAAAAACCAGGCATTTACTCATAAAAAAACACCATGTACTTATTAATCTGCTTCAGAATATCAGCACAATGTTCTCCATCCAGAAGAAAACAACATGATTGTTGTAAACAGTTTGTAAAAATATCAAAATTTTCAAGTATTAAAAAATTAAAGCTAGTACATGTGTTGTTTGGAAAGAATTCATATTTTGTATATTTCATTTGTATTTATAATAAGATGATGCACTATATAGCGTCAGATAGTGGACTTAATGAAAGTTTGGTACTTAAGAAAAAAGAAATGATTAAGGAGAAAAGAAAATGTATTGATTAAAGGGATTACAACACATGTAACCAAAGTCCATCAAAACAATAACAAACAACATCGATTATTCTTAACCAAACTTTTATGAAACAAGAGTAAAACACATCAAGTAAAATACTGACATGTTTTACGGAATCTTAATTTTTTATATGAATTAGGTTAAACTATAGTAACTTATGAACAAAAGAAAGATTAACACGGAGACTCATGAAAAGAGTACAAGGAAAATAAGAACATGTTCCGGAAGAGTAAGCGTCTTCTGCTTCATCGACAACGTTAGCCTTGTAAATACTGATCCAGCTGTACAACTTCGTGATGTTACGTTCTCAAATGAGATCTAGGATTCTGACTTATTTAAAGAACACTAACGGAGAACAAAATATGAAACGATATTTCGTCAAAATAAACGGAGTAGCTTCACCATGTCAACCTGTCAACGATATGGCCAGAAACAACAGGCGGACAGCATCAGAAAATGGAAAAGATGATAACATTAGAAATTAAGGAAATAACAAAATAAAATATGTGAAAGCACTACACATAGGAAGAAACATGTGGACAACAAACATTCGCTAGATGGAGCTTATCATGTGCAGTACACATACCCTGTGGTTGTTACATTGTAGCGTGTACATACAGTAGACATGCACTCAACCTCTTGAAGCGAAGCTGCAATTTTCCAAACAAGGGGCACCTTTTTGTGTAAAATTATATAAGATTAGCAACGATGTATTGATTATGTAAGTCCGCCTTTTTATTAAAACGAGTACATAGGCTACAGAAGATATTCTATATTATTGTATGAAAAGGGCATCGCCATTCTTCCTCTTCACTAGTCCTGCTGCAGAAATTAAGATGATGGCTGACACTGCCCCGATACTGTAGTATAGACAGCGATATCATCGATACTTTAAAATATTTGGTTTTATCCACTTAAATACGCAATGGTTCAATTGACGACTAAATTATCTTTTCACTCTAATTGGATCTGATATTAAAAACCTAGGACCTGTTCGTTCGTGTGGACAAACCAACTCATAAGCACTTTAAATTAACATATCAGGCAAAAATCTGTACCGACCTGCAAATATTTGTCCTGGTGTAATCGTGGCTCGTCAAAAAACAAAATAAAATGGACGGTCCGTCTTCCATTTGATAAACAACTCTGGTCAAACTAATTAAACGTTTAAACGACCTTTGTTATCACAAAACCAAGAGAA